AAAACAAGTGTTAAAGTTGGGTGGTAGGTACATGGGTGCTTATTACATTATTTGCCATATTTCCTGTATATGCTTAAAATATTTCAAAATAAAAATTTGAGAAATAAATATTTGGGTTAAAAAAACAACACTATTTTTCAGGTCTCTAATCTCATCAAACTGCAACTCTCTTTACTGTGAATGAGATTACCCATAAAAGCCTACAAAAAGAAAACATCTTTTCTGGGCTAAGACAGCCTATCATGTATCTGCTAAGGATGGAAGAATGGTCATGGGCAACATTTCACTTCTGGAAAGAGAAAAATGTTTTATCTACTTGAACACTAACAATATATCACTGCAATAATACTTGAAGTTACCCAACAAAGTCATCTAATTGAATGAGACTGGGTTAATCAGATCCAAAATGATTTCAATTTCATTATACTTCTGATAGGGTAATCAACTTGATCCTATTTTCTCAGGACTGTCCCAGTTTTAAAACTGAAAGTCTTGTGTTCCAGGGACCTCTCAGTCTCAGGCATACCAGGACAGTTGGCAACCCTAATTCATGGTCACAACAAAACTGCTGAGAGAGAGAATTTATGTAGTAAACCATCTTAATTTTACAGATGGGAAAAATGAAGTACTAAGAAACTAAGTGAATCAGACCAAATTACACATTGCTGTTTCAAATTACAACTGGGTCAAAGTTAGTTCTTTCCATTGAAGGACCTATTTATACATCACTCAGCCATAACCCCTAAATGCCAATTCATCAGTGTTTTTGAACAGTTTTCAATATCTTGTTATCCTCATAGGTCTTTCCCAAACTGAAAGGATTGCCTCATAAAAGGAGTTCAAGACTAGGGATGCTCCTGACCTTGGAGGAAGGTACTGAGGAGAGGAAAGGAATAGAAAGTCCACTTCTTTACACTGATATTTCAATAAATTCTGTAGGAAATTTATTTGAAACTCTTTACAGTTTCAAAAATAGTTTTAAGTGAATGCTCATTTCTTTTTGTAATATTTAATGTAAAACAGACTATTTGTATACTCTAGAGGATATATTCATATAGAGAAGCACCTTATTAGCACTTTAATTCAAAGGAGGGGAAGACTGAAGGAAAATCTGCTCACCTATGTCCCCAAAATGTAAGGCCCTAAAACTAATGTTTGTGACGGTACCTTGCAGAGAGTCCAACACAATGAAGACATTCAATATGCTAGTTTCCTTTCCGGAGCAGTGTGGAAAGATTGAAACTTTCCACATCACTCAATTTCCTTGACTCCTCTTAACTAGCCACTGTGCAAATAAAGAAGAAATAAGCCTGATAAGGATTTTTATGCCTGCAGAGGCTTGTCTTCATGTGCTTGTATTTAACAAATCCAGGATCCAAGAGGAGAAATAAAAGAGCTGCTTTCAATTAATCCATGAAAAGTCATCTACATTCAATTTAAATTTGGACTTACCCCCATTTTTTCATAACCAACCAAAGCATATATACAATGGCTTCTTTATAACTATAAAACTTAACAATGAGATCCTTTTCCTTTTTCTTTGGGTTTGTTTTTTTTTTTAAGTACACTGGTATAAAATGCATATACACTTAGTATTTTCTTTCTCCAGAATTTTTTTCATACCATATCTCCTTTCAGTATTCTAACATTTTTCTGGGGTAAGAGACAGTTGGAAGAACAGAAAGAACACTGGAGGAAGTTTGAAATTAGAAGTACAGTTTTAGGGGTGCCTGGGTGGCTCAGTCGTTAAGCGTCTGCCTTCGGCTCAGGTCATGATCTCAAGGTCCTGGGATCCAGCCCCGCATCGGGCTCCCTGCTCAGCAGGGAGCCTGCTTCTCCCTCTCCCACTCCCCCTGCTTGTGTTCCCTCTCTCGCTGTGTCTGTCAAATAAATAAATAAAATCTTTAAAAAAAATAAGAAAGAAAGAAAGCATAGTTTTATGTTCCAGGTCTGTAATTTAATTTTCTATGTGATCCTGGACAAGCATTTAAACTGTAAAAGGGGAAAGGGGCGCCTGGGTGGCTCAGTCGGTTAAGCGTCTGACTCTTGATTTCAGCTCAGGTCATGATCTCAGGGTCCTGGGATTGAGCCCTGCCTCCAGCTCTGCGCTCAGGCTCAGCAGCTAGCCTGCTTGAGGATTCTTTCTCTGCCCTGCCCCCTGCTCTCTCTCCACCAGCCCCTCAAATAAATAAATCTTCTTTTTTTTTTTTAAGATTTTATTTATTTATTTGAGAAAGAGTAAGTGAAAGAGAGTGAGCGTGAAAGCCCGCACAAGCCGGAGAAGAGGCAGAGGGAGAGAGAAGCAGACTCTCCACTGAGGAGGGACCTGATGCGGGGCTCAATCCCAGGACCCTTGGGATCATGACCTGAGCCGAAGGCAGATACTTAACCAACTCAGCCACCCAGGTGCCCCATAAATAAATAAATCTTAAAACAGAAATAATACCTATCCCATGGTAACTGGAAAGTATGAGGATGTATACAGAAGATCTTTTAAGTTGTAGAAGACTTTTTTTAAAATTTGAGAGAGCAGAGTGTTCGAGAGAGAACTCGAGTGGGGGTGGGGAGGGGGAGAGGGAGAAGCAGACACCCCACTGGGTAGGGAGCCCGATGTGGGGGTCGATCCCGAGACCCTGGGATCAAGACCTGAGTTGAAGGCAGATGCTTAACTGATGGAGCCACCCAGGTGCCCCTGTAGAAGATATCTTGAGAAGATAAATAAAAAATAAACTTATTCGATATCACATTATCAAATGGTAGGGTTAAAATTAAATAAATCAGGCATGATATTCCGAGCAGTGGTGCCCTAAGAGATCTGGAAGGTACCATTGAGAACATCAGCACTAAGACTTACTAAAATTACAAAAGTACATGTAATTATCAATAAAAATCCTGTGTCAATTGTACCTCCTCTATAGCACCCTTTATTTCAATTTCTCAGTCACTAAGGTATTTAAAAAAGGCAGACCAAAAAAATACCATGAAAGCCCCATAAAACCTGAGTGTGAGGAATGTAAGTAATACTGCATTAACAATGGAGAGCTCACTATGTACCAAGCGGTGCTCTTGGAGCTGGGGATTCAGGTTTACACGGTAGAGGGAGGCAGGTCAACACAAGTCAGTAGGCAGCATGCTACAAATACTAGGTAAGTGCTAAGCACAAGGAAAGCAGAAACAGGGTATAAGGGGCGGCAGGGAAGGGCAGTTGAGGAAGGCAAGGCCTCACCGATAAGGTGACTCAGGAGGTGACCTAAATAAATCAAGTGAAAGGAGACATCTGAGAAGATTGGGAGAATAATCCAGGACCCAGAGACAGAACTGAGGAAGCAGTGAGGGAGGGAGACGGTGCTGAGAGATAAGACAAAGATCAGGGTACTGGAGGGGAAGGTTAAAATAAGACCTCAGACCAGATTTTACTCTGAGATGAGACACCTTTGGGAGGTTTGGGACGGATGGGTGTTTTCTTCAAAATTTGTTAGCTGTGGAATCTTATGTTCAAACGGATCCAGAGAAGATCAATATGTAAAAAGATAAAATAGGAGCTGCTCTAGTTAAGGAAAGGGTACCCAGAGACTAAGTCAGGGCTGTCCCCACTTTCCCTTTCCCTTCTCTTAAGTAACAGTTTAAAAATGATTACAAAGTCTGTAGTATCCAAACTACCAAAGAACTTCATAATCTGGCCTCATCCTAACTTTTCAAAAAGCTATTCCTAAGAAATAACAAAAAGGAGCAAATCAAGCAGCTGTTGCAAACGTGTTGCCACAAAAATCAGTCTTTGTAACACCCATTATCCACCAAGTACCAACAAGGCAACAGCTCCTCTCCTCTCCCTTCCCCCACACACCCCTCAGGCTACATACTACCCTGTCTTTCAGGGCTTCCCCCAATAATCATCTTATCTTGATTTCACTTGATTAAAAATGTTTTGGCAGTACAGTGTGATCTGCTTCTGATGACATATCTCTGGATAGAGCCTCCCTGTCTATTTAAATTTTAGGAAAATTCTCCCTCCACTAGTGTTATTTATTCTATCAGTGATGTCATCCCAGTTTGCTCTATTCTAATCTTACCCATCCATCAAAGTCTACTTTGTGAAGCCTCCTCCTCACACTTTGACCCTTAACTGGAATTCTAAATATTAGTGTGAAGGGAACTTCCAGGCCATCTGGTTGGTGCTCTAGCTCATTGCTCATTCCACAGACTAACCCTTTGCAGATTTGGTTGGTAGTCTCCCAGCCTTTGTGACTGCTTTTAGTGACAAGATAACACTGCACCACACCCTTTCAGATATACAGTAAATTGTGAAACAATTCTTTTTTTATTGACCCAGACCTGTTTCCTTCCACCACTGATTCTGTCCTCTGGTTCTAATAAAGGAAAGTCTGACCCCACCCCACCCAACCTGCCCAACCCCTCGCAGCCTGCATAGCTTATAGACGGCCTTGTCATTTTCCCCAACTCTGGCTCCACCTCTAAAAATCCTACCCATTTCCCAGCCATCTCACGGGCCATCTGTGGGGTCTACATTCAATCTGTAATGATTAGCTATCGGAGTCGCAGGCTGATTTGATGTTTGTGTCTCATGCCACTGATTACACCCCTTTCTTGATTCTCTCCCTTGAACTCTCTTAGGATTTCTACACTTAGCCTTGCACTCATCACTGTGCAGTCTGTCAGTGAGCATTTAGTAGGCACTGTCAGGAACCATGATAGGCACTGAAAAAATAAAAGTAAATAAAATGTACTCAGCCCATGGAAGAGTAAGAACAAGAGAGATAAAATAATAAATAGCTGGGGAAGTTGGAGATGGCAGGGAGGAACTGTATCACACAGCCTTGTGTCCCCAGCACCAACCGTACAATGCTTTGCCATCAGCAAATAGGTAAACTCGGAAAAGTAGAGAAAGCCTGCTCAGCCCCCTCGGCCTCTCTTGGAGATGAGGGAAGGTGGTCAATGAATCCATAGTCTGGCAGGGGAAGTTTGAGAGGCTGACACTGTACCTGGTTACGTACAGTATTGCTCAGGTGGTTGTCCTCGGACATCTGTGCATTCTGGAAGTAGGACAAGGGTGCAGGTAACTCTGTCATTGGAGCAACTGTATAGAAACACTTTTTCACAGAAAACAAAGCCTCTTGGGGTTCTGAAAAGGGAAAAAGAAAATAATCCTTTGTGCATTACAATTATACTTTCATTTTTAAACACTTTCATAAATTACATTCAGCAAAAACAAACCTTTCTTTCATGTGTTCTTCTCCAGACCAAACTTTCTAAGGACCTCACAGGCTGCTGTCACTTGCAGGCTTCCGGATTAGGTCTGAAATAGGATTTTACCAGGTCACCCAGAGTAAATCTATTCACACCAATCAAGTACTTAGAATTATTTTTGTATTTGTAATTTGTAAACCAGAAAGGTATTAATCTGCCATCAACTTCAAATGACAAAGTTTTGTTAGCTCAAGATATCTCTCTGGTAATGAGATCTACTTGAGAAACCAAATATTTTCAATCACAAAAATACCTAATGATTTCAGATTTAGAGCAAAGGGAGCTAAATGATATTAAAGATTGTTCTCATCAACATTCCTTTTTCTATGCTAACTAATCCAACCTAATCTTTCTATCTCCATAAAACTGTCTAGTGCTTTTAATTTGGCAAAATTCTGTCATCTCATTTTAATCCTTACCACAATGCCCCAAGCCAAGGGAAACAGGTAACATACCTATTTTACAAAAGCAGAAGAGGACCTAAGTACACTGACTGGCTTAAAAATCACACAATTGGGCAGATCAGGCCAAAAATCACAGACTCCTAACTCCCAGCTTTAGGTCTCTCCCTTGCATCCTGGCACAGCCTTATTTACGCACATCATTCAGTCTCCCAGAATTCACTCTCCTGGTGGGGGTGGTGGGGAGGGGGATGACACACATTCCCATTTGCTGTCTGCCTTAATTTCCATCAGCCAATTCTTTATGATTTCAACTCTGCTTTTCTTTTTTTAAAATTTGTTTTGGAGGGGGGCGCCTGGGTGGCTCAGTCGTTAAGCGTCTGCCTTCGGCTCAGGTCATGATCCCAGGGTCCTGGGATCGAGCCCCGCATCGGGCTCCCTGCTCGGCGGGAAGCCTGCTTCTCCCTCTCCCACTCCCCCTGCTTGTGTTCCCTCTCTCGCTCTCTGTCAAATAAAAAAAATCTTTAAAAAAAAAGAAAAAAAAATTTGTTTTGGAGGTATTTAGTGATTCATCAGTTGCATATAACACCTAGTACTCATTATATCAAGTACCATCCTTAATGCCCATCACCCAATTACCCCTTCCCCCCACCACCTCCCCTCCAGCAATCCTGTTTCTGAGAGTTCAGCATCTTTTATGGCTTGCCTCCCTCTCGATTTTCATCTTATTTTATCTTTGCTTCCCTTCCCCTATGTTCATGTTTTGTTTCTTAAATTCCGCGTATGAGTGAAATCATATGGTATTTGTCTTTCTCTGACTGACTTATTTTGCTTAGCATAATACCCTCTAGTTCCATTCAATTTCCCTTTTCATAGAAAGTCTTCAGAAATACAGAAGGAAAGAAATCTGTTCATATATCTAAGCAGTATTCTCATTCATACACAGTGACTACAACATTATCATGTACACACTCACATGAAAGTATTTTGTCAAAGTCCTGTTTCATTTTCACTTTCAACTTCAGGATCCTCGATCCTCTAAATACTCTACTTTTTATATTCTAGTGATTTTTCGTCAAAAACACAGAAAGCAGCTAAAAAAAAAACAAGGAAAGTAACTATTTTTCAAAATAGTACTGAGTTCAAATTAACTCTTAATTACCTATATCTAGATCATTTAAACCATGATAAATTTTTAATCAAGGTATGCTTCCCTTCTAACCGACACGGTTTTATATGCCATGCCAACCTTTCACTTCCCTTCCAGCTACAGCCCATGGTCAACTGACATGGATCAAGGGATTGCAAATTATTACTAACTAAATAAAACATAATTAATGTAAGTTTGTTTTAAAAATAAAGTGAATTAAAAATACAAATAGAGACAACACTTACTTTTATGGGGGTTATTTGTAAGGGGGGATGTGGGAAGCTTTGGGGGGGAATTGGTAATGTTTTGTTTCTTGATCTGGGTGCTAGTTACACAGGGATTTCAGTCTGTGAAGATGCACTGAGCTGTACCCCCATGATATGTGCACATTGCTATATACTTCAATTAAATTCAGAGATTTTTGTGGACATAAACCTATATTTATGGTTATTTATACCAATGGTCCTTTTTTTTTTTTTGAAGATTTTATTTACTTATTTGTCAGAGAGAGACTGAGCACAAGCAGGGGGAGCGACAGGCAGAGGGAGAAGCAGGCTCCCCACTGAGCAAGGAGCCCTATGTGGGACTCGATCCCAGGACCCTGGGATCATGACCTGAGCTGAAGGCAGACACTTAACTGACTGAGCCACCCAGGCTACCCCCCTAGTATTTATTTTAAAAAATAAGTTGTAATGAGAATCTGGTCATTTTAATTTTAGTAGTTTCCATTATTAGGCCTTATGCTTCCAGGATCTGTTCAGCCATTACAGGAAACCAAACTGGTTATCATACTGGAGCTTTCTCAGACAAATCTTGTAAGAAACATCAAAAATGCAGTAGTCACTTTAGCATATCCTGATAGCTTTTTCAAAGGCACATCCTGTATTTACACGTGAAAACTAAGGGTCAGGAAAGGTGAAAGAATTTGGCAGTGCTTATGAGGCAAATAACACCAGTTCCAGAACCCAGGTGTTCTGATGCCCAGCCCAGGTCTTTTCCAGTTCAATCAGAGAAAGCTCATGCTTCCACTGATGCTTTGAAGCTCATAATGCTACCGGGTGACCCTTCCAGGGAGGGAAGAGCTGCTCTTTACATGGAGCTCAGTAGAAAGCAGAGGCAAGCAACGCGGGCTAGGTCTTCAGTCAGGCCTGGTGAACAAACAAACATTGTTCGTACAAAGAAAGGCAGAGGCAAAGCCCGATTTGATTCTGGTCCAGTAACAGCTGAAAACAATTGATGACTGAATGAAGGAGGCCAGAAGGCCATCTGTCCAGCCAGCATAGCAAAGGACACTCGTTGATTTTATAACATTCTTAGCATTCTTGCCCTGAGAACAAAAAAGATAGCTGTTGGGAAGTGAGGATCTTGTGACCTGGACTGCAAAGGGAGGAGGGACAGAAGTAGAGTTTGCTGTTTTCTCTCTCTGACCACCTGCTAAAGATTTTCTGAGACTGACAGAGCGTAACACTTGAATTCACTGCTATCATTTCCTTTTTCTCAAGACACTTGCTCAATCAGATAAAAGGAAAGAGAAACCCTTCTCTGATGGGCAACTACAATTCCTATTATACACAAAGAAACTTAAAAAAAACCTAGGGGAATACAAATAATCTCAAAGTTTCCATGTGCTGATAGAAAAATCTATCCATCAGCACTTCAAAAAGAATCAAAGGAGCAAAGCTTAGAATCTCAAAATAAGTTTATTAAAAATCCATTTAAGGAAGCACCAACAGAAACGTACAGGTCATCTCAAAGTAACAACCAAACCTCAAAATCTTACAACATGGTTAATTACAGATACCATTTTCTTTCTTCAAGGTCAGAGATAAATGTAAACAAAATTTGTATTCCACAAAAACAGCTTCATGAGACTTTTTATCATGATCTTCTCCAGCACAAAGAGTTGGTGCTTTAATGTAGCTAGCCACTTGACTAGTTTCTTCTTCACACAGAAAACCATCAAAAGTAAAAAAGAAAAAAAGCGGGGGGGGGGGCATCTGAGTGGCCAACTCTTGATTTTGGCTCAGGTCATGATCTGAGAGTCCTGGGATGGAGCCCTGGGGCTGGCTCCCTGCTCAGTGAGGAGTCAGCCTGAAGATTCTCTCTCCCTCTCCCTCCACTGCCCCCACACGCACTCTCTCTAAAATAAATAAATAAATCTTTTTTAAAACAGTGGAATGTATTTAACAAAAAAAAGAAAGCAAAGAGGGGCGCCTGGGTGGCTCAGTCGATTGGATGTCTGCCTTCAGCTCAGGTCATGATCCTGGGATCCTGGGATGGCGCCCCGCACTGGGCTCCTTGCCCGGGGGGGAGCCTGCTTCTCCCTCTGCCCGCTGTTCGCCCTGCTTGCCCTCGCACTCCTGCTCATACGCACGTGCATGTGCTCTCTCTCTTTCTCTCTCTGACAAACAGATAAATAAGAATCTTTAAAAAAAAAAAAGAAAAAAGAAAACCACCAAAAGTATTTTTTAAAGTATCTTTATATTGTGATAAGAAGTTTTTAAGTACCAAATGAGCTTGTGATTTATTCTTTTTCCATAAAAGTATTTAATCAGCCTTAGTGTTACTTTGACAGCTTCCTCCTGGACAGGCAGCCTAAGTTCTGACTGTATGGATGGGCTGGGAGAGCCTCTATTTGAGTTTTCAAAAGCTCACATCCAATAATAAATATAACCAATCTCCAAACTGCATTCATAATTAAATAAAAAGAATTTGAAATTAACTTAAAACTTCAGGAACATATGCTGGAAAGACTCTGAATTTTAAGAGACTAGGGAGCAAATAATTTCCCCAGTCCTACAAGAGGCTTTGTGAAGGTGGTAGACTCTAAAAAGAGCAAGGATAGTGATGTATCTATTTGGCGATTTTTTTCTTCCTTCCATCCCACTCTACTTCTGTGAGCCATCTGTGGTAGATTAGATTATTATTCAGCAAATATGCACTCCTTCCCCAGGCATCCCTGCGAGAGAAATATACTCCACTCCAGTGATGTTGGGCTTGGCTCTGAGACTTCTTTGGCTTCAAGGTGGGTGCAGTCTACTAGCCACCCCATGCCTTTTGGCACAATCATCTGACTTGCTTTGATCAAAGGGATGTTAGCAGATGTAGCACAAGCAGACACCTGAACTGTGCTTCTGCAGTTGGACTTACCTTCTTTTACTTCTGCTGTCGCCTTGAGAAGAGCTTACCATGGGTAGTCACTGCCCCTTCAGCCTGGGCCCCAGAATAAAACATGCAAAACAGAACTGCCCTAGCTGATCCATAGTCCTACACCTTGAAGCAAAGCCTTGAGTCAGAACAAATACTCTAAGGCTGGGTTTGGGGGAGGTCTGTTATGTGGAGTTACTGTAGTTGTTTTCAAACAATAATGGTTACATGGGCTCAGAAGATGCAATGAAAATGAAGACTTACAAATCCAGAATCCCTTATCTGAAACCCTTAGGACTAAGTGTGTTTAGAATTCACATTTTTCTCAGATTTTATAAAGGTAATATGATGCAAATACTGTATGTTTTAAAATGCCCTCTCAAAGTCATAGATAGAACCACAAAATCAAACACATTAATAAGTATATAGTGAAACATATAGTCTTAAATTACATTAATAGGTTCAGGTTAGATCTTTCTGTCAAATGAATTATAAAATGCCTTTTGGTTTTTTCAGGGGCTTTTGGATTTCATAATTATAGATATGCAACTATGGTCCTGTATTACCAGTATTTGTAGTAATTATAAAGAATCTTTCCCCAAGAAACCTACTTTCAATAAGTCTACATGAAAGGTATGATCACACCCAGTTTGTTTCAAATTCACCATGGAAATGGACTGAATACATCTTTAATGAAAACATGACTACTCACATCTAATTAATTTATAAATCATTAGTTATACTCAGCAATGCTTGCATTCTCTTTTGCTTTAGACCAATTTAAGGAACTGTTCAAGGCATTATGAAAACCAAACATTAATATTCTTTAATCAACCAACACTTACTGGGTTTCTTCTATAAAACCAGACATTGTGATAGGTGCTGGGGATAGTATACTAGCAGATAATACTTCTGTTTACTCAAGAAGCTTACTATCTAGAAGAGGAGTCAGGCAAGTATATATTTATATTAATTTCATGTTAAAATAAAAATATTTTAGGGTGCCTGGGTGGCTCAGATGGTTAAGCGTCTGCCTTTGGCTCAGGTCATGATCTCAGGGTCCTGGGATCGAGTCCCGCGTCGGGCTCCCTGCTCAGCGGGGAGCCTGCTTCTCCCTCTGCCTCTCTCTCTCTCTCTGTCTCTCATGAATAAATAAATAAAATCTTATTAAAAAAAGAAATAAAAATATTTTAGATGGGGCGCCTGGGTGGCTCAGTGAGTTAAGCATCTGCCTTTGGCTCAGATCATGATCCCGGGGTCCTGAGATCGAGCCCTGCACAGGGCTGCCTGCTCAGTGGGGAGTCTGCTTCTCCCTCTCACTCTGTGTGCTCTCTCACTCTCTCAAATAAATAAAAACTTTTTAAAAAAATGTAAAAAAGTATATTTTAGATGTAGAGAGCGTGGGTGGCTCAGTCAGTTGAGCTCTGGACTCTGATTTCAGCTGTCATGATCTCGGGATTGTGGGATTGTGCCCTGCAACTGGGCTCCACACTTGGTGAGGAGTCTGCATATCCTTCTGTCTCTGCTCCTCCCCTTGCCCATGTGCTTTCACTCTAGCTCTCTCAAATAAATAAATAGTTAAAAAAATTTTAGATGTATTGGGTTACATAAATTATATTATTCAAATTAATTTTATCTATTTCCTACCTTTATAAAACTTGTTTATTAAAAAGTTTTAAATTAACACTTGTAGCTCACACAGGTTTTTTTTGTTTTTTTTTTAAGATTTTATTTATTTGTGAGAGAGAGAAAGCAAGTGCGGGTGCACAAGCAGAGGGAGTGGCAGGCAGGCTCCCCGCTGAGCAAGGAGCTGGACTTGGGACTTGATCCCAGGACCCTAAGATCATGACCTGGGCCCAAGGCAGATGCTCAACCGAATGAGCCACCCAGGCGTCCCACTCACACAGTTTCTATCAGATAGCACTGCTCTAAATCTTAAGCTCTTTCAGCTATACCAGCCCAGATACTAAAAATCCCTGACAGCCTTTTCCTTCCCAAAGCTTCCCTTCCTTCCTTAGCCTTTGTGACACCGTACTATGGACGTTCTCCTCCCATCACTCATTCTCTTCTTAGCTGGTTCCTCTCACCCTTTTTCCATTCCTTCATTATAAGTGGCCTGCCTGGGCCTCTTTGTCCCCTTCCTTTCCTTAGGCATCTCCTCCACTGCTCCAACATCAACTAGTAAGTCTATTTAAATGACTCTCATATTTACAGTTCCAGGTCTGTCCCTGAGACATCGTCACCTGCTGGCACTTCAAAAGTGGTAACTTCCAAACCACTTCATCTTCCTCTCTAGACTAGTTCTTTGCTTCTAACTTCCTTATTTCTGCAGTCGTCTCTCCCGTTCTTCAAACTTAAAGCCTTCTAGCCAACTCTACACTTTATTCCGTTTTTCAATTAGCTGCCATGTACTGTTCATGGTTTTTCTTTCTTTTTTTTTAAGATTTTATTTATTTGGGAGAGAGAACGAGCACAAGCGGGGGAGCGGGGCCTTAGGAAGACAGAGAAGCAGACTCCCCACTAAGCAGGAAGCCAATCGCAGGGCTCAATCCCAGAACCCTGGGATCATGACCTGAGCTGAAGGCAGACGCTTAACCAACTGAGCCACCCAGGCACAATAGTTTCTTCTAAGCCTCTGTCATCACCAAAGATCAAACTCTCATCATATCTCACCTGAATTATGCAAAAGTCACCTCAATTCTCTCATCCCCACTATCAAAGTAATGTGCCTAAAATTCTGACCATAACAGTGCCACTCTTAACACACCTTCCAAATCTGCCTAACATCTATCACATGAAGAAGAGGCAGTATTAGAGTTCAACAGGTTCTTCAGAATATATCGTAAAAAAGCCTCCCCTATAATCTGCAATATTAGTGGGAAAGGAGGAGCAGAGAGAGCCTGGATCTGAGAGAGAAAGAGGACCACATAAACTATGGTAATAGATAAATGCTGTATTTTCCTGCTAGGGTAGTTCTGAGAGATCAACTTCAATCCTCCGGTTCCCCCTAAATGGAAATTCATGCAGCAGTCTAGGACTAGTTGCAGCCATTAACTTAAAATTCAGCAATAAATCACATCCATTCAGAAGAAAGTATACCCAGAACTGTGGGAACTGTCTGCCCAAGGACCAGGAGTAGAAGAATGGAAAACCAGATGATAGATGCCACTTCTACTATCTATTGGGGGGGTGGGGGCAGGAAGGAATCCATGCGCTCAATAAATATGATCCTTTTCTCATTGTTAAGGGTTTATTAGATGGCAGTGGGGGGAACCTTAAGTTGGCTGAACTCTGCAAATGAATTAAGAGAACTGAAATAGGCTTTTGCAGGTGACTGAAATTAGTCAAATGCAACTAGCTCCAATCTACTTTCCTGTTTTATTTTCCTTCATAACAGGTATTTTAATGTTCAGAGTGGGTCACTGGTTGCTTGCGATCCAGACAGCCCATGTTTGTTAATACACCTTCTGATTATGATGCCCTACCCACTTCAACGCCAGGAGTGAAAACCTCTCCACTGTAAAAGATAACTCAAGGGCGCCTGGGTGGCTGTCTTTAAGTGTCTGCCTTCGGCTCAGGTCATGGTCCCGGGGTCCTGGGATCGAGCCCCGCATCGAGCTCCCTGCTCAGAGGGAAGCCTGCTTCTCCCTCTCCCACTCCCCCTGCTTGTGTTCCCTCCCTCGCTGTGTCTCTGTCAAATAAATAAAATCTTAAAAAAAAAAAAAACTCAACTAACAAGATTCCCTAACCAGATGTGATCTCTCCCTGCCTCAAACTTCAGAGAATGTACGAGCTTTACAATGTGCTCTGTCATAGTCATTATATATGCCATAGTTTTTTGCATCCTATTCTTATCTCCCAGAGTAAACCCTGAATACTATATTCATCTTGTCCAAAGCAGCCAAGCAATGCTTTTTAAAATTAGTATTAAATTAGTCTCCTACAATAGAAGCAGATTATTTATTTGAAAAGAACCTGAGCGGGAAGAAAACGCAAATACCTAAGACACATGCAAAGCACTGAACATCATGCCTCGCGACAGTCCCAACCAAGGCAAAAGCATCAGACCCTGTTTTCCGCCTCGAACGTGAGACATAAGGAACTTAGCCCTGAGAGCCACTCACTTCCCCGGACAAGGACACACTCAGAGCATGAGGCGCGGAGTTTCACCAGTTGCTCAACCAGACACAGGGCAAGGCGCTTCCTCTTTCTCCTGCTCCACTCCAGTCAAGACGGTCAATCCCGGCCCACGGCACCTGCGTCCTGAAACGACTTCGGGAAGCCAGCACTTCCGGACCTAGGCTCCGGAGGCGAATCGCTCTTTAACCTGACCGCGCGCTGCGCCTGGAGCCGAAGAAACGGGCCGCCCCTCCTTGTTCCCCACACGGGGTTCCTCGGTCTCTGCTCAGCCGCGCCCCGCTCCTCATCCTCGAGGACACCGGCTGCGCCGCCCGGGCGGCGACAAAGGGCCGGGCCCTGCCCGCGACCGCCCGTGTCCGCACCGGGTGAGGAGCGCCTTCCCCTCTCCCCGAACTCCCCATCACGCACCTACTCTTCCCTTGCCGCCGCCACCCGCCGCTCGCAGGGAAAGCTCCTTCCCGAGCAGCCGCTGTTTTGTTTCCGATGTGAAATCGCGGCCTCTGGAGCTGCTGGCCCAGGCCCCGCCCAAAAGGCTTCGCTGATGTCATTTCCGGCTCTGGCGTCGTTGGCGGTCGGCCAGGGGAGGGGCGGGACCCACCGGCATAGGGGGCGGAACCCAGGGGAAAAGGGTGGAGCTTCCGGTGGAGCGCGCGGATAGAGGGGCAAACGCTGCGCTCCACGCGACCCCGGGACTTAGACGAACTCGCCCAGACAGCTAGTGTGAGTCTGAGATTGTCTGGGATTCGAGACTGCTCTTCAGCTGAGGACCAAAGTTTCTACGTCAACTGGGCCCAGCGTGTGCTTCTTCCGGCCTGCAAGTGAGGACATCTTATCTAACATTTATCAGTACCTATTTGTAATGTTTCTCAATGCGAATCTGCACGCATTGAGACAGTCATGAGGACTAATTAAATTTTAATAACCTGTGCCCTTCACACCCTACCCAATGAATCAAAAGTTCTGGTGGGGGCGGGAACCTGAGAAACTGCATTTTAAACAAACATAGCCCGGGATTCTTAGGCTCTGAGTTTAAGATCGAGTCTTAGATGATAAGCTTCCAAAGAGCATAAAATGTATCTTATTTTTGAAATCCCAAAACCAGAGTACAAAATTGCTCAGCAATCACTTAATTTCCGCATCTGCCAGCTTCCCGTCCAAATTGCGGAAGACAGTACCGGTAACAAAAGTAGCATTGCACACTCATCTGAAAGCTAAAAGTAAACAACGAATACAATAATGTAAAACCAAAGATGAAGAATGGAGAAATGCTCAAATTCACAGGTAATAGAAAACTGACAATGAAATCGATGATGCATGCATCTGGCCCAATGATATCTTCTATTTCTTTTAAATTCCTCCCCCAAGATAGCTTTTCATATTCCTGCAGCATCAGTCCCCAATCCCCTCCTCTCCCCGCCCAATACATGAACAGATTTAAATAGGTTTTACACACTTCATATTTAAGAATATCAGTAGTTTTTTCCATTAACAGGGAAAAGTTAAGTTGGGGAATAAAAATGTTGACAGCCCCAAAGATACTTTTTAAAGTTCTCATTTCCCCTTCCCTCCTTAAACTTCACATGGGTAAACATTTTTTTTTCCTATTTGTTCACTTCATATTACAAGTGCTGAGAACAGTGCCTAGCACATAAAACAGTTCAATACATTTAACAAAGAAGCATAGCTAAACCCCATCTATTTGTGAACTGGTTCAATCTTTTTTAATGCAATCTGGTAACAGGAGTAGAAAGTCTTAAAACGCTGGTCAACTATTTTTAGACACAATCTCAATACAAAATACTTGTGCAAAAATGTTCCCAAAGTATTTATAGCAAAAATTGGAAAGCTAAACATCCCACAATAAATGATCGTTCATCCACTTCACAGAATGTCATTAGAATTGTTTATGAAGGTTGTGTTTAACATTCTTATTCTATTAAGTTAAAAAGACCTAAGATTTATGCATATGTATAAATACAACTATGTCAAAACAATTCCTGCAAGAAGTAAAAAGGTGATAAAAAAGTGATAAAAAAGCAACCAGTGACTTTAAGTAACCGGACTACATACAGATAACTTTTCCACCAGTTTCTATTTCTTCATCTTCTTAGAAATACAAACACCTTTGGGGCATCTGTGGAGCTCGCAACTCTTGATCTCCGGGTCATGAGTTTGAGCCCCACGCTGGGTGTAGAGATTACTTAAATAAATCTTTTTTTTTCTTAAGATTTTATTTATTTTAGAGGGGCGGAGGAGCTGAGGGAATCTCAAGCAGAATCTCAAGCAGAAATTGGAGCACAGAGTCCAAAGCGGGGATTGAGCTCAGAACCCTGAGATCATGACCTGAACCAAAATCATGAGTTAGTTGCTTAACCGATTGAGCCACCCAGGCACCCCATAAATAAATCTTAAAAAAAATTTTTTTTTAATTTTTAATTAAAATACAAATACCTAGGATTTGCTGAGGAAGAGCCAGCAAAGACAGAGTAGGACAGGGCAAAAGTAATATCCTAGACACCAAACAACAGATGTCCATGGTGTTAAAAGATAGGGTAGAGCCTCTCACAAGGTCACAGAGTCTCCTTTAGGCCATCACCAGTCATCAGTGGCATGATGATACAAACATTTGAGACTGGAGGCATTTGGAAGGCACATGTAACTATAAGCTACTCTTTGTGGAATCTCAATAGTGTAGTAGAAAGGAGATAGGATCCAAGGTTAAGTTTTTGTGTTCTTTAACACTTAGTCCAGACTGAAGAATGAAGATAAGGAAATACTTGAGCAAGGATCAAGAAACTGCAAGTTAGAAACCAGAGCCAGTGGAGTGGGGGATGTTTTCTAGATAGGATGAATGGAGTTATCATTAACTATAGAAAGCAAAGGTTTAAGATGCATGTCATTATTAACTGGAAATCTAGAACTGGAGAATATGCCTAATGACATTTTTAAGTTAAGGTTTTGTTAAATTTGAGACTTAGTTGCTGAGGGGGGATATCAAAGGACTTTTACTCATTCAGCGAATATTTTTTCCACAACTACTATACAGCCATGTAGGATCAAAAACAATAAAAGCTGGAATGCGTGTGGAAAGGAGTTGGAGTTCAGTAAAACAATTGAGATATATAGCACTGAAGGTCCAAAATATCTGCAGTGGTGCATTTATATTTTCCCAAAAGCGTTTGGTACTTGGGAGCAGGAATGGAGAAACAAAACAAAATAAATGGTGGCAAAAACCAATAATAAGTGGTGAAAGATGAAGCAGATGGGAAATCCAGAGTGCCAGACCTGTTAGAACCACTTGGGGGAGAGAGGCTGTCAGAGACTAAGGCCAGCGCAGTTACTGGTCACTAGTATGTGAAGTCAAGACCTGGTCAATCAGGGAACGAAGGCCAGTTATTTACACCATTGATTCCAAGGCAATGCAACTCAGCACTTCTCCCATAAAAGCAGTTTGCCTTTCTTTTTTTTTAATTAAACTCTACGCTCAACGTGGGGCTTGAACTCACAACTCCCCGAGACCAAGAGTCACAGGCTCAATCAACTGAGCCAGCCAGGTGCCCCTGCCTTTATTTATACACAACGTCACTGCCCTGTTTCTTACGGGAATAAAGAACTGAAATATGACAATATTGTCATCAGAGCTTGGTGCTTGGCCACTATCTTAACAGCTCTCACGTCGTTCTTATTCTTTGCAAGGATTATCTCCTTAGACTTGGACCTGATTAAGATAAAGCATTAGTTATCTTGTATTTTTAGCCTTCAGTTCTGTGTTTGTATTTTATAAATTCTAATTTCCTCCTTAATCAAGAACTTGGGCCTCCCCTTTTTAAAAAATGTGCCTCAATAAAATACTTAAAAATGAAACTTTTATAGCTTTTTCACCTATAGTAACAATCCAGTTCTTCAGTAGGGTGTATTTACTAGTATTTAATTGACAGGAAAGAAATGAACCTTTAGAGTTTTTGGATCCTACAATGTAAAGTGTTCACTAGTTTTTCCTTTTGTTATATAAAAAAAAAACAAAACAGGAAAAATAGTTCTTTAGCACTATTTTTAAATTCACACCTAATAATTTTTGCTTCAACAAAGATTTATAAAAATGCTTCCTGTGGACTAATTTTATTAACAAGCACTTCCCTCTCCCCTTGGGTTGATAGCAACATCTAGACCAGACCTGTGCAATATAGCTTTCTGAAACCATATGTTTGTTTGTTTTTAAGATTTTTAAGTAATCTCTATACCCAACGTGGGACTTGAACTTACAACCCTGAGATCGAGTCGCATGTTCCACCGACTGAGCCAGCCAGGTGCCCCAATCGCAATGATATTCTATAACCTGCAATGGCCATATAGTTTTGCTAGCCACTGGCTATATATGGCTATAGAGCACTTGACCTATATTGTAACAAAAAACTGGATTTTTTTAGTCACATGACTTTCAAACACTTGAAATACACTAGTGTGATTAAAGAACTGAGTTTCAAAATTAACAAATTTAAAACCTTAGGTAGCACAGATCTGGACCATGAATTAGAATGCTATATATAGGCCTCCAGACACCAATCTGTCATCTGTAGTGCTGTTTTGGGTAAGCTATGTGACCTCTAAGTTCCCTTCTACATATTACTACCTCTGCTGAGAATCTTCCTACTGTCCTTTCCCTCTTGACTGTGAAGTTAGCTCACCAAGTCTGATAGTTGGTATAGTACTTTATGTCTATCAGTGTTCCTCTCATTCCTTCTCCACCATCATTAGACGGTCATCTACTACAGGAATCTTGTCTTATGTCTATCACTCCACCTACCATTTAACATGAATGCCACATATTAACTGTGCTTTTAGCCACATATTAACTGTGCTTCAATGGCTAAATATAAATTATACACAAAAAAACAGAGGGAATACCTGTTAACAATTCAGCTACCGCTCTGGGCATGAAAACTAGGTCATGAATCCAACTACTACAGGATGTGGCACAGTAGGCATACTTGGGAGTGTCATTTAATGAAAAAACATGGCTTGAAAAGAATTTTTACTTTTGCTTATAGAAATTATCTTTCATTCCTGGGCATTTTAGATTGCTATTCCTAATGTGGCCTTCATATGAGACAAGTGATAAAATCAAAGGCTAAAATTCTGTCAAAGATGAAAATGTAGTAAGCATTCATACAAATAAATTATTTCAATAATTCAACACAATCACATTTCAAAAAATCTACCATTTATCAAAAAATTATAAGCTTACTTTGGTCTATAGTATGAATGTTACAGTAATAGTTCCTGGGTTTGAAATATATATATTAATTTCCCAGTTTTCTTCCTGACACCTAGACTGACTGTTTCTTTGCCTATTTGGATTCTTTCTCATACCCTTTATATCCAGAGCATTCAGAATTCAATTTCACCATCTTTTGCTGAGCTAAATACTATTCTCAATTTCGGATTGTTAAAAGGCGTCTGAAATATGACCTGAAAATATCCGTAACCATTTTGACATAAAACCTTTCAGTTTTTGTGTTACAAGTGGAAACATTTATAGAGCTCATCAGAAAAAGGGTAAATAAGCCTCATCTACACACTACTTATTAACATTGTAACTTCCTTACTTCATATGTAAGAAAACATAAGTGGTTTAGTTCAATTTGACTCTCAAGCTGTTTCTCTGTTCGTCCACCATATCTAGCATTCGTGCCTGATTAGTACCCGAACAGCACTCCACAAAATCATCATTCGCCTCTACTACATACACAAGTGCTATGAGAAGAATCAGAGGAAGTAAAAACAGAGTTCTCTAAGGAGAAAATGCTCTGGGACTGGCTGGGAATAAAGCCTAGAATATTAGGGTTGTTGTTCTCAGGCACCTTTTTTGGAAGACTACTTTATGTTCATAAACATAAATAATATGCATCTATTTGTCTCAAAAAATGTTTTTCTCTTTATAATCTACTTAAAAAGAAAATTAAGCTGCATTTGTGTAGTCTGTTGGGATAAAATACTAGTACAGGTTCCCCTGGCTTTTCAGAAGTTACTCCGCTTTTATGAAAATCCTCCAGTAGCACCTGGTTTTGCTAATCAAAAGAAATCTGAAAATTTTCATTTTACGAAAAAAGAAGGCGAAATACAGCGAAAATAGCTTGTTTTGCAGCAAGTCCTTATACAAGCAGCACACAGCCCGTGCATCGAGAGTGAAGCCAGCAAGTCCCTTGCCCCAGGGACTGCACTCAGCGCGAGCCACCACAGCTTTGAACTGTCTCTGTGAGCATCTGTGCTTTACACCTCGATTTATTTTGTGCATCTGTGAGCAAGATGTGGTATCAGGTAAATCTGAGAGAGATTATTTTTCGGTGAGGGATTACTCAAACAAAATTTCCATATAAATTAATGGTTACTGCTTCTTTGCTTTATGCCATTTCAGCTTTCAGAACGTTTCACAGGGACACTCAACTTTTGGGATAACATAGGAAACCTGTACTGAGCACATACCTTCAACTGCTAATCAAAGTGTAGTCAGTGCTCGGATCAGTTAGCATTGGCATCACCTGGAAGCTGGTCAGCAATGCAAAATTTCCAGCCTCACCCTATCCCTACCAAACCAGTCTACATTTTAACAAGATCCCGCAGGTGATTCAGGTACACATTAAAGTTTTAGAAGAACTTCAACTTATCTTTCCTCCTGTAAACAAATATACATATTTAAAATTATTTCTAAGGTCAAATGAGGAAAAAGCATATTCATTTTCTAACTGCCAGATCAAGAATGATTCTCAAGGGCCACCTGGGTGGCTCAGTCAGTTAAGTGGGCTCAAGTCCTGATCTCAGGGTCGTGGGATGGAGCCCCAAGCTCAGTAGGGTGTCTGCTTCTCCCTCTCCTGCCCCTCCCCCTGCTCCTGCTCTCTCTCAAATAAATAAAACCTTAGGGAGGAAAAAAAAAAAGGCAATGATTCTCAAGACTTTCATATAATTTTTTAACAACTTGAATGGGCAATACAGATTAAGATTTCCAAACTGAAATTAATCTATGGGCAAACGGTAAAGACAACCCAGAAAGCTCAAGCAATTTATTGGAAATGTTCTTATGTGTATTCTCCCAGACATTAGAATATGCCAGTTTATACATGTCCAGTTCTTTATATGCAAATCTGAAAAACAAGAAACTTGAAAACCTTAAAATTTTAAGCTTGGTAGCAAAACCCGTCTTGAGCTGATATGAAACTATTATAAATGGTCTTTAACCCAGGGGCTCTGATGATTTCTGTTCTGCTGCAAAAATGTTAATGTAGGAATTTGAGATCTGGACACAAATCTCACTGGAGGTGTGATGCAGTATATGGTAGGTGCCCTCAAGACTTCCAGATAAGGGCCCTTTAAGATAAATAAAGAGCTGGAGAAGACAAAAGCAAGGGAAATTAAATCTACCTGAATAAGCCTTCATGCTAATGTTGGCTAAATAAAAACCTAATATGGTGCCTTAGAAGCATTAATAAAGTAAGAGAAGACAGAGGAATAATAAACTGCTTGAACATGTGAAGCTTGGGTGGGGGGGGGGCGGAAAGGAGAAGGCCGGGGGTGTCAATTTGAGAAAAGGCTAGTAAATGAATTTACAGTTGGCAAGGAGCATTAACTTTGTTTTCCCGAGAGGCCAGAACTTAAAAATGATAGAATATTAAAAGGGGGTATTCTCCACAAATGTATGATTAACCCAAAGTAAGTAAATGGCCTTTTTGACCTTTGTTACAAATACTCATAAAAATCAAGTCCATCAAAAATTCAGCCTATATTTTCAAGTTATGTTTCTAGTATGCACTGCACAATTACAACATGTCATTTATTTAACAAGACTCTGAAAGAATGGGTCCCCAAGATCAAATATATACAGTTTTAATATAGGAAATATTTACATAATGGAACCACCTCATGGTCCAATGTTAAGAACAGTGTTTCAAATTCCTTTTAAGATGTAAAAAAAAATCTGTAACTCAAGCTCAGTTATGCTTTTTAACAACCCCCCTCCCCTAGACTTTGTCCTTCTTTTAAATAAATACTCAGAGATGGGAATAACTGCACCTAATTTGTGTTAAGAACTGTCTAAAACCTGTTACATTTTCAGGTAATTTTGCTCCCTGGTGAAGTTCTGTTCTACAATAAAGAAAGCTCCATGTGTGTCTCTAAGACATCAGAATATTTTTAAACATTGATGAGCAGAGGTAAAAGAGGTGTATGCGTACATATACACTCACGAGATATAAACCCTTTAAAAACAAAAGTGAAAACAAAAAAATTAGTGGTAACAGCCTTAAATGATTTACTTTATCCTTAAAAATAAGATGTAAACTGCAAATTGCCATTCTGAATTCCTACTGTATTTTTTTCAAACTTTCCAAGTCTGTATTGCCTAATTTTACTTTTTTAAATGATTTTTTTCATTTATGCTTTTCAGATTAAGGTTTTTCTTTTTAAACAAAAGAGTACACCAAAATAAAGCTAAGGACCAATTCGTGCAAAAATGCATCAAATAAAGCTCTCCAGAATCTAAGGATCTGCCTCATTTCTGAACAATGAAATTAATGGGAAAACCATTATGATTCACACTCCCTTAAAAAAAGAGAGGCTGAAGCAGCCAGCTATCAACAGGAAAGCCCCGTTCCATTCACCAGACTGTTGCTTGCCACAAGAGAATACCATGCTCTGGGAGACTAATAACCTAATTATCCCAGACATTTGGGTTGGCACAATACCACGTTTCCTTTACAATTCTACTCTTCAATAAGGAAATGTTTAAGGGAGCCCTCCAAAAAAAATTAGGTAAAAGACATTTATACATACATTCACACGAACACACTCATACAGAGATACAGTGGGAATGGACTGTCTGCTAATCTTAGCACTCTAATTTTAAATTCCATGCCTTCAGGAGGGCTTGCCATTTTTGATCAAGGGGTGGGAAGGGTAATAGGTTTGATGGGTATTCTTTCAATTAAAATCATTCATGTAGGTTCCTGTACAGTACAGTTCAACATTAAGTGCAATTCTGCAAAAGAATTGGGGAGTCATTTTAATATTTACAAGAAATAAATCAGCAGAACAAGATTATATCAGATAGGCTGTGTACAGTAGCTGCGGCTTATAAAACATACCAGTAATCTGTACCTGGTGAGTATAAAGAGAACCAAGGCAGGATTCAGATGTCTTTACAACCAAGGGAGTACACAGGGCATCAACAAATTAGAGAACAAAAAAATTCACATTTTCTACATTAAAAAAAAATTACAGATCTCACAAATGTCTTTGAAGACAAAGAAAAAGCCAAAGTCCTCTGAAAGGTGGGAAAGAAGAAGAAAATTGAAACAGAACTCTAAAGGTAAAAAGAGTTTTACTTCACAAGACCAATTTTCTTGGCTTCTGTTTCATATATTAATAATCTCCACATTTTGACTATAAAAACTTCTGCTTCTTCATCAAGTACCTAGAAAAGAAAAAGAAAAAACTCAAAAAAAACCCCAGTAACACATGTAAGATAAGCAATCATCAGCATCTCCCAACAGTGACTAGTATTTTCTTATTTTTTTTTTTATTGTTGTTAAAGGTTTTATTTATTTGTCAGAGAGAGACAGAGCCCAAGCAGGGGGAGCGGCAGGCAGAGGGAGAAGCAGGCTCCCCACTGAGCAAGGAGCCTGATGCGGGGACTTGATCCCAGGACCCCAGGATCATGACCTGAGCTGAAGGCAGATGCTTAATGACTGAGCCACCCAGGTGTCCCGTGACTGGTATTTTAAAAGGCTTCATACATTGACAAGCATTTACTTTCAATAAAATGACCTGAAATAAATCGGTCTAGTGTGAGAAATATATTTAGTAAATATAAATTACAAAAAAGGGTGTGGGGGAGAATGCATTCAGCAAAATTCCATGGCTTACCACATACACCACAATACTAAACTATTTCCTAAAGAAAGCATGTTTGTTATAAAAAACATAGTAATTTAGGCAGAACTAGTTATACAACCGAGTATCTTATCTACCCCGAAAACAGCCTTAAAATCATAACACTTATCAAGTACTTATTATGTATGTAACATTGAATTAAATATTAAATGAGAACATATGTAGGGGCGCCTGGGTGGCTCAGTTGTTAAGCGTCTGCCTTTGGCTCAAGGTCATGATCCCGGGGTCCTGGGATCGAGCCCCACCATCGGGCTCCCTGCTCAGCGGGAAGCCTGCTTCTCCCTCTCCCGCTCCCCCTGCTTGTGTTCCCTCTCTTGCTGTGACTCTGTCAAATAAATGAATCTTTAAAAAAATAAAAATAAATAAAATAAATGAGAATATATGTAAAGCATTTAGTATGGCATCTAGGATACGGCAAACAGTACGTGAACACTATCATCACCAAAAAGGACACAAGACTACTGAATAAATAAATGGTCTTTTCCCCTTGGAAAATTAATAAATCAAATTATCTTCCTATCTACTTATGAGGTAGGGGCATTATATCGACCCCCTACTCCTGCCCTCACCCTACATGCAGATTTGGGCCTCTATACCAGGGTTACAGTGAGGTAAAATGGAAAAGCATGTTTCCTTCTACAGGAAGCAGCTATGACTGAGCTACAGGGTATCCCTGCCATGATGGAATGTGGCCTAATGTTGCCAGGTCTCTGGAGCAGCAGTTTAAGTTAGGAGGTAAGCAAACCAGGGGCGCATGGGTAGCTCAATCAATCAGTTAAGCATCTGCTTTTGGCTCAGGTCATGATCCCAGGGTCCTGGGATCGAGCCCCACATCAGGCTCCCTGCTCAGCGGGGAATCTGCTTCTCCCTCTCCTGTTCCCCCTGCTTGTGCTCTCTCTCTCTCTTAAATGAATAAATAAAATCTTTAAAGGGGGGGGGCAGTTAAGCAAACTAGATCTCTAGCCAGACTATGTGGGTTCAAATCCCACTTCTACCTCTTATCAGGTATGTGTCCTTGGCTGAGTCCCTTAGCCACAATGAACCTCAGTTCTCTCATCTGTAGAATGGAGGAAATATTAACTACATGATACTGTTCTACTGTGGGAATTAAAAGAGTTAACAGGTACAAAGTGTTTTGAAGAGTGTCTGGTATCTAAGTGATCAGTAAGTACCTAAAAGCAGCCAGAAAAATCTGATTTTCTTTTTTTTTTTTTGATAAACTTCCCTAAATTTCTCAACAATGACAAATAATTAAAGAACTTTTACTCAGACTTCTATGAGCCAGACTTGACCAGCAGTTTGAGAGAACTATGCTGCAACACTAATTAATGTGAACATTGTACCTTGGAAATAATATACATCTAGGCACAAAATACAACCAAAGTTAATTAATGTAAAATGAAGAAAGGTACAGTTTGAAAAAGTCAAGATTTCTTTTTTTAAGAAAATGTCAGATTTGGGGCGCCTGGGTGGCTCAGTTGTTAAGCATCTGCCTTCGGCTCAGGTCATGATCCCAGGGTCCTGGGATCGAGCCCCGCACCAGGCTCCCTGCTCCACGGGAAGCCCGCTTCTCCCTCCCCCACTCCCCCTGCTTGTGTTCCCTCTCTCGTTGTGTCTCTCTCTGTCAAGTAAGTAAAATCTTAAAAGAAAAAAAGAAAATGTCAGATTTTTAATAAGAGCAAAGTACTACTTGAACTAAAAATTCAATCTCATTTAGTCAAGAAATATTTAGAGGGTAAGCTTGTGATAGAACTAGTTGACAAAACTAGCCAATTGAGTGGCTTCCTCCCACTCTGATCAACAATGAGCCAGAAAATTAAAATATAAGTAATTAACCAGTGAAAGAGTCTCATTATACTCCAAATACCAAAATATTTCAACAGATCAAAATGGATTAACACTGACACGTGACATCTTCACTGACAGAAATTGCAACTCTGCCAAAGCCAAATACTAGAACACTGGGGTTTTGTTTGTTTGTTTTTTAATTCCCTAACTCAGGCCCAACTATAAAACCCTCTCTCGGCCCCAAGGATAACCTTTTAAACATATGGGAAGGTCAGGGAAGTTCAAATTCTATCCCCAAGGACCAGGATCTATTCACATTTCTCCTTTCATCTGAGGCTCAGCATTATGAAGTCAACAAACCTTTCACAAATACTTTATCAGAAATTCTAAACAACAGCTACATCAGCCTGGCTGGGCAGCAGAAAATTAATGTTACCTGGCTTTAGACATCATATAGTGCCTGGACACAAAATATCTCGACCTAGGAGCTCCCGTTGTTTAGGTACCCCACTATGCCCCTCCCTGACAACTGCAGTGGGAAATGCAAGCTCTCCAGGGCACCTGTCATCTTACAACATGCTCAACGTTTCTTCCTCCCTGACTCATCTTCCCTCTGCTGCCTTCCCACTCTGCCCTCCATTACTCTTTATACTAACCACCCTCAACTTCAATTAGTTTTTTTTTCATCTATTTACCTGAACTGAAAACTTGTGTCCCTGAAAGACCCTGAGACACTCCTGTAGCCTACTCAGGAAGTTCCTTACTTTCAAAGCCTTAATCTCACAGGAGGGGAAGCTGCTGGATCCTTCCAGTTTCTCTTTGTGAACAGTATCTCCATTAAGATTCGCAAGATCTCATTACACTACCCCTTCCACTCCAACAGCAGCTATCTAACAAACACCTAGTCTTCCACCCACAACAGATGAGCACTCTGGCTATTGGTTCCCATATTTCTCTGCAATCCCTGTCCCAACACACAGAAGTTTCAATTTCTATGTGTATGACCCAAGTGGAAAGTTCACTTATAGTCTAACGACATCAACTCTATCCCAGAAACTCTCTCCCATGGCCACGTATGCACCTCACCATCGTCTGGACCAATCCACCACTTGTTCTTAAACGTTCTACTCTCTCACTATAACCACTCTTTTCAACACACCTCCCACAGCTTCAGTGGAATAACCAGCCCGTTTCACATAACCACCAGCTCTATTCCGATGTTATCGCCTTCTCTTCCTAGCTTGGAGTTCACAGTCCACTCAACCACTCTCACTCTACAGCCAATTCTCTCCCTCCTTCCTTTTCTCACAAAATCACATTAGATAAATGTAACCACTGACTCAACTCTAATATCCAAATTAAATGCAAGTGGGGATTTGATGTTTACTGCTGACCAATGGATACCTGTCCAAGTGACAAGGTTATACAAGTCTCCTCAAGTCTCAGTTTAGATGGTTAACTCTTGTGATTCTTTTCCTAACTGCCGTCTGTACCATCAGATGCTCCATCTCCTGGGCCCCCCACATCTTTTTCACATATCCCCATGATTGCAAGTATATTACAGTATCAGTATTAGTATACCTGTCTCCCTGCTACTTCTTTAAGGACAGATGTTCCACCTTTTCATGCTTCTAGCACCATGTTCAACCTAGTAAGCACTTAATGTTTTCGAAATGTATGAATAGATCCAGAATTTGTATTTATACATACAAACACCAAAGGTGGGGGAAGGAGAAAGTGTTAGTTTTGTCTAAGGACACCTTGATGTGAGTGCTTTTAACCTCTTTTAGTGCAGATTCACATTTTAATTGGGGCTTCTAAAAAGAAAGGTTCTGGAACCAACACAGGTAAAAAATTAATCAAAAACAGAAGTTTAGTTTGTTTACAGATATTAATTAGAATATTAACAACAGTAAATTTCTGACTTACCATGGCAACGTCATCTAAAATGCTCTGAGGTGAACTATGAGCCATAACCTAAAAGAAACACATAACTGTCATTTTGAAAATAAATAAAAAATTAGCAATATAGTCAAAAAATTTTAAAGTACCCTCAAACTAATATGGGAATTTCTTGTGGCCGAATTAACATTCTATAAATTTCTTAATTCCCAGAATCCTACTCTCTTCAATGGAAGTTTACGACAACCTGGGATCTTAATCACTATACTACGTGTTCTAATTCAAATCCAGAGTTACAAATTCCAATGCTACAATAATTACAAGTGGAGACAGCAGCCTAAATTTGCTATTCCTAAAGCTAAAAGAGCAGTAATGGTGGAAAAATAAGCATTTCCTTAAAATGCAATTATTCCTTTACAGATATACAGTGCTTCTACTGTAACTATCTTATTAAAGATAAGACTTTGCCTTCAGGAGACAATGGAAGGATGTGGTACACCTTGGTGGTTAAGAGCACTTAGCGCTTACTTATTATGGGACTACGGTCAAGACAATCTCCCCTGACCTCAATTTCTACATGTATAAAATGGGGATAAAATGGGGATAATAATAGTAATTTATACTTGCTAAGGTTGTTGGGAGGTTTAAAGAACATAACATTCTGTAAAATGCTTAACACAGTACCTGCCAAGAACAAAGCCTGGCCCACAGCAAATTAATCAATAAAAACAACTATTATTATGCTATGAAGGAAACTATTTTGCTCTTCTTCCAAAGGATGGATGACTGACAAATTCATGAGATAAGCTATCAGCTGTCTCCACAAATACCCCCTCAACTGTACTTCAGCAGCATTCTAACCATTAAGACATGGGGGTGGCAACACATTCTCAGGGGCAGGGAGAGCGCAAACTTGGCAGCAGTCAATAAATCTGCCCTCCTTGACCCTCTGAAATGAAAGCATATGGCGTAGGGGTCTGAAATAAAGTGGAGGAGTTAAGTAGACATGAAATCTCTTAATACCTGAAACTAAACTACCATAGACTTGGCTTTGCAAGATTTTTTATTTTAGAAAGTGTCTTAATATTTTGAAGTATAAAACAAATGTTGCGGATCGGGGCACCTGGGTGGCTCAGTTGTTAAGTGTCTGCCTTTGGCTCAGATCATGATCCAGGGGGTCCTGGGATCGAGCCCCGCGTCGGGATCCCTGCTCAGAGGGAAGCCTGCTTCTCCCTCTCCCACTCCCCCTGCTTGTGTTCCCTCCCTCATTGTGTCTCTCTCTGTCAAATAAATAAATCTTAAGAAAAAAAAAAAAGTTGGGGAAGAAGGGAGTAAAAGACTAACCTTAGAACAAACAAAATCAACTAATGTAGCTTCTTCTTCACCTATGTATTCTATAATCTTCTTATTAATCCATGGTCTAATCCGTCGTTCCATCAATATCTGCAAAATAAAGCATTGCTATTAAATTAAATAACTTTTTATTATATTTACTACAAAGTCTATAGCCTCACGATTTTTCTTAAAACTAAAATATAGTATGCTCTCATTTACAAGTTGAATGAAGACAGGTATGTATCAAGATACAATTACTTGCTTCTAATTGATGAAGACTTCAAGTACCACCAAGAATTTCCCCAATCATTTACCTAACTTCCTTGGCAGGTCAAGAAGCCAGCCACATTATCGTCTCTACTTGTCATTAATAGAATCAGCTGACTTTGTATGCTATATTCAAAACCACTTCCAATAAAAATGATGAAATACAATGTGCTACTCACAGAATCCACAATAGACCAATCCAAGGGATAAGCAAAGAGCTCAGGTTTGGCTGTAGGAATTTTCTCAATGAGACTCTTAATGTGTTTGCGCTTTTCTTCAGTGTTTACAGTGCCTTTGGCAGCATTTTTATCATCTTCACCATAATCCAAGGGAACCAGTTTCCTTTTTCGGGGTACATCATCACTGTCTTCGTCCTCAAATTTGTTAAAGACACTATCTACGGGGAGTTTCTTTCTCTTCACAGAATTAGGTTGACCAGGACTATTGGAAGCACCTATAGTAAAAATCCTTTATTAGCATGATGACTTAATTTTCAAATGTTAATTACATTTTACAACCCACCATCCCTCAAGAGCAGCGCATAATGTACTTTCACAAATCTCAGAGAAAGATCCCAACTGTAAAAAATAACTCACTACTCACAAGTGCTAGAAAATTTAACTTTTCACTTCTTCTCAGAACTTGAGGCAGCTGCAGATATAGGAGCACTAGTAGAACTACGAAAACAATCGTGAGCTATAAAGGCATTTTTGAGTATTTTTCTATCTACCTACCAAGCAGCACATATTTATTTTTTCCTTAAAGCAAAGTTTAAGTATATATAGGGGATTAAAATAAAGGAAAGAAGGAAGAAAATGCTAACATACCCAGTTTAAGACTTAGTCCTATTTTTGGCCTATGTTCCTCCGGTTGTTGTTGATCTGGTGAATTTTCATGAGGAATAATAATACCACATGGAGACTCATCCCCAGGAGTGTTGGGGGTTGCATTGCCACTGGCAGAGGAAACAGATGGGGCAGAACTGATGGGCCTCAGAGTTGGTTTGAGACAGGGCTTTTGCTCCGGCTCTTCCTCCTCTTCCATGGGTTCCTCTCGTTTTTCTTCTTTTTCTTGCTTTTCTTCTTCTTCTTCCTCTGATTCAGGTTCTTGCTTTATTTGTGGTTGTCTGCGCCTTTCAGCCTCTTGTTCCATCTAACACCAAAAAATAACGTGACTAACAGACCACAACTATACTCAACCAGCTTTCTGTTTTCCATCATCTTTCATAAAACTTCTATTTTTCATTAGGAATAATGAAACACTGCTTGCTTCTATAATCAGAAAGCTGGGTAGGTCTATAGAATATATTAGGTACTCCGCAAAATGTTTTCTTATATTTTTAACATTTACATATAAAATTATTTAAACTCTTCAGATATAACAAAGGCAAATACATAATACGTGGCTAATTTAAAAGTAAAAGGTATGTTTTTTTTATTTTTATTGAAATTATAATCCAAAGTTTTATTTTAATTTTAAAGATTTTATTTATTTGAGAGAGAGCATGAGCAGGGAGGAAGGGCAGAGGGAGAGGGAGAAGCAGGCTCCCCACGTAGCAGCAGGGCTCGATCCCAGGACCCTGTAATCATGGCCTGAGCTGAAGGCAGATGACTGACTGAGCCACCTAGGCGTCCCCCAAAAGTTTATTTTAGAACCTAGACAACTGCATAAGAGGCAACTCAAATCCTCAGCTTGGTCATCAACAATTATTTGTTCTGTGGCACCTGGCTGGCTCAGTCCGTACAGCATGCAACTCTCAATGTCAGGGCTGTGAATTCGAGCCCCATGGTGAATGCAGCGATTAATTAAAAATAAAATCTTTAAAACGCAATTATTTGGTCTTTCTAGGTCATGGCTAAAGATGGTAGTCACTTTTGTATTCATGAATAGGGAAAGAAAGAAAGAGAGGGGAAAAAATTTTTCGAGTCAAAAGCCTATACCAAAATGAACACTCTCCCTGAAATCATGAAAGATTAAAAAAACAACAACAAAATAATCAATAAGAGCATTATAAAAACTTGAGTAAATTTCATCAATAATTTTTCTGAGCATGAAACAAAAAAAATAGAACAAGAAGACCCTAGGGGCGCCTGGCTGGCTCAGTCAATTAAGTGTCTGACTTAGGCTCAGGTCCTGATCTCAGGATCCTGGGATTGAGCCCCATGCTCAACAGGGAGTCGGCTTCTCCCTCTCCCTACCGCTCATGGTCGCTCTCTCAAATAAATAAATAAAATCTTAAAAAAAGATCCTGAACTACATAACAATTAAAAGTTGGTCCATGACATGACTTAACACCATCTAACTATCAACTCACAAAGTAGTACAATGACCATTAAACAATCTATAAGGCATTCAAACCAACTGGTAGAAAATAAAACATAAAAACACACCCAACCTAAATGTTACAATGGTAAGGATTTAAAAGACCAACAATATGCCATGATGGTCAAGGTATGAAAACAGACATAAAGCTATAAACTGGCAATATTCTGAGTGAAAGATTATACCCGAATTAAAAGCACATCAGAAAATAGCATATAAATTATAATCCCACTTATAAAATTTATGTGAGGAGGGTATACATATGCCTGTGTGATGACATTTTAAAAACCACAAATCTAGGGGCACCTGGATGGCTCAGTTAAGCATCTGCGTTTGGCTCAGGTCATGATCTCAGGATCCTGGGATCGAGCCCCACATCAGGCTCCCTGCTCAGCGGAAAGCCTGCTTCTCTCTTTCCCACTCCCTCTGCTTGTGTTCCCTCTCTTGCTGTGTCTCTCTCAAATAAATAAAATCTTAAAAAACAAACCCACAAATCTATAATGATTGTACCAGGCTGATAAGAAAGCAGATAGTTTTTTTTTTTTTTAAGATTTTTATTTATTTATTTGACAGAGAAAGACACAGTGAGAGAGGGAACACAAGCAGGGGGAGTGGGGGAGGGAGAAGCAGACTCTCCGCTGAGCAGGGAGCACGATGTGGGACTCGATCCCAGGACCCTGGGATCATGACCTGAGCCGAAGGCAGACACTTAACGACTGAGCCACCCAGGCGCCCAAAGCAGATAGTTTTTAATTTCTTCACTATTGTGTTGCATGTTGTCTGAACCTTCTATTTACTCATGTAAGTACTTATTCTATCAACAGGAAAAAAAAACACAATTTCATTTTGAAAAATAAAAGGGGCATGTAAGAAGACATGGTTTCTGATGACAAACAGGATATAACAGATTTTTTCAAGTTGATACAAAGAATTTACAATATTAGATTCATGATATATTAAGAACGAAAATTTTTCTAAAATGACACTCTACTCTTAAAAAAAGAATGGGGTAGGGCGCCTGGGTGGCTCAGTTGGCTAATCGACTGCCTTCGGCTCAAGTCATGATCCTGGAGTCCCGGGATCGAGTCCTGCGTCGGGCTCCCTGCTCAGCAGGGAGTCTGCTTCTCCCTCTGACCCTCCCCTCTCCCATGCTCTCATTCTCTCCCTCTCAAATAAATAAATAAAAATCTTAAAAAAAAAAAAAAAAGAATGGGGTATGCTATGTTCTATGGCAAAGTCTTTTCCTTTTTTTAAATGGCATGCTGTTTGTGAAAACGTCTTTATTTAGGAAATAAAAAGATTTAGGGTGGGAGTGAGAAGGAACTCAAACCCCAAAAGTCATGAAATGTGAGAACACATTATGGGAAGGACAGGTTTCTAGAAAAGTTTTATTAGATGACATTCATTTAACTTAGGTAATATTTCACAGAAATAAAGGAATAAGACACAGGAAGGTGTTTAGAATAATTAAAGCTGTAAATCAACAAAGACTGATGATCTGCATAATAAAATAAAGAAAAAGTACTAATATCATCCCCCCAAACAGCAAGATCCATGGAGCATAAACTGCATTTCCCTTATGAGAACATTGTTGTGGATGTTAGGGTAACTCACCCTTTGGAGCTCTGCATCTGGATCTGGGTGCCCTTCAGCCAGAAGGCGCTGCCTGATTTCCTCTAGCTCTTCCTTCTCTCTCTTCCTATCCCGTTCATCAGCTTCCATTTCCTTTTCCCTATCACGCAACCTTTTCTGAAGAGCGCTTCCTCTGCAAAAGTAAATCATAACAGGCCTTGATACTCAGATCAACTATTATAACACATAATGTCTCCAAAAGTACCTTCCTTCAATACTAAAAGCTGCATGTTAGGAAAATGAAAAATGTCTTACACTGTTTTTGTATCTGCAGAACACCCAAGACAGTGTGCTCTCTACACATAAACAGTTTAATAAGGAAGCATGGTCTTGTCATTTATCACCATGCCTCATTCTCAAGTCATTCTAAGTAAGTGTCTAAAACAAGGAGAAACAGTTTTCTGATGAAAGAAAGCTCTCATTTTGCACTCATTCCCCAGGGAAAGTCCAACACACAATTTGTGTTTTCTTGGATGCCAAGTTGTGAAAAACTACTAAAAGTAGTAGTAATACCAGTAAGAACAGTCCTCTATCTTCAATTTAAATCAATTCTTTCCCTTATGGAAAAAATCCTTGAAGTAGTGCAGAATCAACAGAAAGAGATTCTCTCTAGCTAGCAGTATATTACATCTCAGAATGCTGAAATTATGTACTACTACTGATTTTATGATTCAATAATTTTACCGAGGATTTTTTTTTTTCATTTTCTACAAAGTCAAATCCTTGGCATGCTGTTGAAGTTGCTAATTCCAATGTTTTAATTATGGGGTAACAGTATATTAAAATGATATACTAAATGCCTTCACTACATGCCCTGGATCCTATCAAATACATGAGGTTAAAAAGAAAAATCAAAATATTGTCCATATCCTCAGAGAAATTAGTTTGGAATGGAGGAAGCAGAACAGAGCCAACAATTTTACCATACTGCCACAGTGCTAGAATGAGAGTACTTTAGAAATGCCATGGGAACAAAGACATGAGGGAAGGCAAGCTTTACAACCGTCACTTTACAATAATATATCAATAGGGCAGGAGATGGGATGGCATTGGGTTTGCTTTGTAACATTCTTGAAATCCTTGAATGCAAAAATTTTTAGACCACCTTAGTTATCAAGACAAGACTAGTTATAACTTAATATAAAAACTGGACCTCTATAAAACACATGAAAAAAATTAATCTGTTTTAATACTATGTGGACCACCACCCCACAAAAGATAGAACTGTTGATCCCTTTCCAACAGTTCTCCCCTGCATTCCCAAAAACATCTTATCAAATATGGAGGTGATTACAAGGTAGAATATTAAGATTCTTTCTTATTCCACTGAATAAACTTGCACCCTCTGGTAGGGAAAATACAGCTAATAAAATACTGAAAGTATGAGCTCATAAAGCAAGGATTCTTTACCTGTAATATTTGGGATCATCTCTATCATCATCATAATCTTCTAAGAATTCTTTTAGTCTTTTAGCTTCTTTTGCCTTTGTGGGAATAAAAGACAAAGTGTGCAAAATTAACATAAAAGTCACATAGAATATCCCCTCCTTTCTTGGAGATAAATTTTTCTTATCCATACCACTTGAATTTTATAATTCTCATGTACTCTGTATATTAAATTTAAATAACATTAGATATATTTTATCTTTTACTCATAAAACAAGCCAGATTTAGAACTTATCTATGCAACAAAAACCACATATAGTATTCCTCTCTGGATAGAGTCTTCAAAGTACAGTAATGAAACCTGAGCAAACCAAGAAACAAAGTTATTTTAATGAATCTATTAATTCAACGAAAATACTTTACCTTTCATTTGCAGATATATTATGCTACAGAAAATAGTTTTTAAGAAATGCAGGACTGAAAATTCAAATCATGTTCACGCATCAGTCTAACTTTGGGTACACAAACCATGAAAGTATAGCACTCTCTTATTTTTGAATTTCAAATATAACTATTATATTTAATACCACTTATAGCTAACAATTATATACAAATATATAATACATAAAAATATTTACTTATACTCTATCCTTACCTACTCTATCAACTATTATATCTAGTATATCTATATACAAAGGATAGGTTTCTAAATATAGTAAAAGTTTATTTAGATTACAGTGAAATTTTAATACATTTCAAATTTCAAATATTACCTCTCTGTAAAGGCTTCCCTGATCTAACCACCTACCATAACCAATTCCCATCCCCAAACAAAATTCTTTCTCCGCACTCCCAAAATACTGTGAACACCCCTTTATCATACCTTAAACACTCACACACACTACAGTAACTACCTCTCTCTCTGAAAATACCACCCACTTGTTTCAAAGTTAGAAGCATTAGTTACTCCTGTATGCCCAGTACCTAGCACAAGCACCAAGGCTGGGATATAATGTACTTGACTCAAATGTGTCAAATGAATGAAAGCAGATTTGTTAAGTAGGAATGACAAAACTTACAAGTATTTAAATAAAACACAGGAAGGTGCATGAGATACATACTAATATATAAACATAAATTACCAGCCTTGAGGAGTAGAAACCTTCACTTTTTACATCATGTACTTCTGTTACTTGAATATTTCTATATAATAAGTAACTGCTTTTGTAACTGGACTTTTTTAAAGCTCTCAAACAAAAAAATAATAGGAAAATTTTCTCTAGAAAGACAGATTTCCGATTTGCTTGTAAAAAGCAGGACCACTTCAAATCTATCCCACCATGTTGTTCATGGCAAACAGCTCTTCAAATAATCGTTTCTCACTATATTATTCTCTTCCTATTTTCTAATGTAGGGATGAAAAAGAAATTCTAGAATGGGAATTGAAACTACTGTCAATAATTCTATGGCATTATGGATATATACAGAAAACCCATACTATCTATCTAGTTTCTACATGCACCCTCTTTTGGGTACTTACAAAAACTCCCTCTATGTCTCATGTTCAAAAGCTACTTGAAGATTCCTAACTTCAGTGAAGTTTTTGGAAGAATAATCTCCAAACTGGAGATAAAGAAACTTTCACGAAATTCTGGCAAAGACAGAACACATGGAACATACTACTCAAGCAAATACTATGACAAAATTTTTTTGTCATTCTTCTTAGTAACAACCTATGCCAATGGTTTCCCTATTATAGTTCATCAGTGTACATGCAAAAAATGTCATGTACTTAAAAGGTAGCATGAGGAAAAACTGTAATTCATATGTTATATACTGAAGACAATAATTGTGATTCATAAAAACAGGTCTTTACGCTATATGTTAAGTGGAATTTAAAAACATGACAAACAAAAAAAAAAGGTCTTCTCATGACACTATTCCCTTCATCCACATGTGCCACACCAATACAGAACAGTATCTATCAATATCAATGCCTCTTCAAAATCAACATGTTACAGACTCTTAAGAATGTTTTATAAATTCTCATTTTATATATTATTCTATGACAGACTTACTTCAACGGTATGCCCAAGAGATAATTTTGTTTATAGGCAGCAAAAATGTGAAAATTAAGAGTAAAAGAGATTTTGGTGGACTGAAATTGTCTGAAGATTAATTGAAATACATAAATATTAAATTACCTAGGGTCGCCTGGGTGGCTTAAACAGCTGGGTGTCCTAACTCTTGATTTCAGCTCAGGTGGTGATCTTAGGATCATGAGATGGAGCCTCACTGGGTATGGAGCCTGCTTGGGATTCTCTCTCTCCCTCTTCCTTTTGCCCCTCCGCCCCCAAATTGTCTATACTGAGAGCTCGTACATTTTAATGACAAGGTTACTTCTAATCTAGTTAATGGTCAAGAATTTGACCTGATTTTTATCTGAAAAATCACTAATCTGTAACCGAGAATATTACCATTTCCCTTCTTCTTTCTTCTTCTCTTTCGGCCTCTTTCTCATACTCCCGGGTTTTCTTCCGTTCTCTGATTTCCCAATTCTTAAGGCGCTAAAAAAGAAATTGTCAAATTTAGTAATACAAATGTATGCAAAGGGCTCTAAAATTTTTGACTAACCAACTGAATAGCAAGCTTTAAGAATAAAAGCATTTCTCGGGGCATCTGGGTGGCTCAGTTAAGTGCCTAGCTCTTGGTTTCGGCTCAGGTCATGATCTCAGGGTCGTGAGACTGAGCTCCACATGCTGGGCTCCATGCTCAGCATGGAGTCTGCTGGAGATTCTCTCCCTCACCCTCTCCCTCTGCACACATGGGTGCATGCTCTCTCTCTCAAATAAAATCTTAAAAAATAATAATAATAAAAAATAAAAGCATTTTCTCAATTTACCTCTTGGTAAGCAGCTTCTTTTTCTCGGAGTTTTCTTTCAAGTTTCCTTCGTTCGTAAGCATCTTCTTCATCTTCTTCTCGGTCGCGCTTCTTGTCTTTCTCTCTCTCTCGTTCCCGTTCCCTTTCTCGCTCTCTCTCTCGCTCTCGTTCTCTTTCTCGTTCCCGTTCTCTCTCTCTCTCTCTTTCTCGCTCCCGTTCCCTTTCACGATCTCTGCTCTTTTCTCTATATAAACAAAAGATTTAAAAAAATCTTTGTTTTCCTTTATAAACCAAGGGAAAAGAGGGTAACATATATTACAAAATAATACACAAACTCATAGGCCAGAATTTAGCATTTGATTTCTGCAGAATTGTAAACTCCTCTATACTTATCAGGATGACACAACATAATTCTAGTCTCAAATTCTCAATTGCATTTTAAATTCCATGTTAATGCTTATCAGTATCTCAGAAAACAAACACACCTGGATATAAGAAATATAAAGGACTGACAAACACGTTAAAAGACAGCCTACTTCACTAGTGATGAAGGAATGAAGATGTTGGCAAAGGTGTGGAGAAAAGAACATTTTGGCATGTTGGATGGATAAATCAGAACTGTATCTAATGGCAATGAAAAGTTCTCAAATATTTAATTCAGAGTGATAAAACCAAATTGCAGAATATATGTAGTATGATGCCATGGATCTAATTAAATACATTTATTTGTACACATATAAAACAATATAGTGTTTATGGATTCATATCCATAATAAAAGTATACATACACTGGTTGTATGTCAAATTCTTGATAATGGTTACTCAAGAGGATAATGATTATTCCAGGAGAGGAAGGAAGGGAAGGATTTTAATGCCCACTAAAGACTAAGGACACTGGATTTCTAGTTCCAGCAACTGGTGGACTGACTAAAGTGGACCTCCTTTCAGCTACAATCAGGTGAAAATTTGCAACACAGAAATGTATTATCTGAAAACCAGCTTGGGAAAAAAAGGTGAGCTTTTCTTCCTTCCCCACTTCCTTCGTTCATTTTTGCTTTACTCCTTCCTAAAGAATTTGAGATGATTCATCAAATTCAATATAATTAAGAAAAAACTTAAAATAAAAACAAGGTAAAATTACTAGGGAGTCCTAAATTGAGAGCTAGGCCATACATTGCGCTACAGGACCAAGTAAAGATGAGCGGCTAAAAGCATGGGTGCTAGAGATGATTTCCCAGGATGCAGGACCTCAATGAAATGGTAAATAGAAAAGATGCCAACCAACCCAGGGAGACAAGAGGGAATCAGGTCTGCCCATAACACTGGGCGGACAGTGGTTGTGTTCTGGGTCTGCGTATAAACTAGCGTCAGATAAAAATTAACCCTGAAGTTGAGAACTGTTACTTGAACCAATGTTTACATGTGTGAGACAGCAAGCCAGGCATGCTCTGTGCCTAAGGAAGCGCTCTCCTCACACAAATGTAAACGGTGTGGAGGGTGCCTAACCGCAGTTCTACTAAAGCAATCAGCAAACAGTAACTTCCACCAAGCCTTACCTTGATCGACTCCGATCCTTATTCCGATCCGAGCTCCTTTCCCGATCGCGGTCCCGGTCTCTCTCTCGGTCCCGGTCACGGTCTCTTTCTTTTGTCCGGTCACGATCCCTATCTCGTTCTCGTTCCCGCTCCCGTTCTTTCTCTTTTTCTCGTTCACGTTCTCTTTCCCTTTCTCGTTCCCGTTCTCGCCTTTCTCGTTCCCTTTCACGCTCCCTCTCTCTTTCTCTCCGTTCTTTCTCAATTTCCTGTCTTTCTTTCTCCTTTTTGCCTTTCTCTTCTTCCAGTTTCTAGAAACCAATAAAAGTACTTTTAGAGTTAACTCTGTAGCTCCAGTATTCAGGTATTTCCCGGCGCAATGCCCAAAATAAGGAACAAAAACAACCAAACCACTGGCACTTTAATATTAAGTACTTGTGGTTTTACTTGACAAATTAAACTGAAGCAATCACAAGACTAAATAGATTGCGTGCAAACCCATATACTCTACACAGACCAGGAATCTCCAATCTTGGATGCTGGGAGATCGTGTCAAGTGTGGCTGGCCGCTCAATGATTATGTAATAACTAAATGACCATGAGGAATGTGGTGATTAGTAATAATTTCTAGAAATACAATCACTTAGCTAAAATGTAATTTCCCTCATTATGAATTTCTGTAAATCAGTATGACTACTGATTTACTATTGATACTAAATATAACCCCAAACTTCCCATTACCTACAGGTTACTACTTGAAGATTTCAAAGGGGAGGTGGGGGAGGAGAGTCAGGTCACTGTAATACAACTAAATAATCTTCTACCCTCTGGTTTGCCCACCCTCCAAAAGATAAGCTGAATTCAGCCAACATTTGCCCTATTATCTAAATGGAAACATTTACTCCCACCATTACAAGATGGACAGCCCACTAAATACAAAAAGTTTGAAAATCACTCACTTCAAGCAAAAAGGTACATAATTGTAATATTCTCATTTCACTTAATTTTAAAAGCAACATATTTATGCCCATTACGCCTATAAGACAATAAAAATATATCAACAGTGATAAATCCATCCTTGGAAGGAACGATTGCATATGAACTTACAGATGCTGTGCTAGGACATGGATCGCCAACACTGGATTAACCTTGCCTACAAGCTATGTTTCTGGGAGGAAGAGCAAGTACATGGTTCACAAATAAACCAAATAACAAAGTCAGACCAAGTTTGTACCCTGACAAGATTACCAGTGTACCACACGGTTTCTACACAAACTCAGAAAACAAAAAACAAAACAAAACAAAAAAACAAAAAAAACCAAACAGGAAAAACAAAACAAAAACAAAATACATTTATCCCTTTGGTTCCATGTTTAGTGTCACCGAAATGAAATTTAAACTGCAACAATAAAATGTGCATTTTTTTTTGTCTTTTCTCAGTCATGTAAAGCATTTAAAACAACTTTAAAAAGCAATCTTACCTGTTATACTTTTTCTCTTGTTCATGGCTCAGAGAACTGATAGAGGATTATGAGAGTAAAGCTAATGCATGAGAAATCAATATATTCAGCAGCTGTGCCAGTCTATATCAAAGGAGAATGTAGGCAAAGCCAATACTGAATACACTGAGGTTACAAAGAGAAGAGAAAAGAAATCATAGAAAGAGGACAGAAACTGAAAGCTATTTAAAGGGGCGAATTCTAATTTCTGAAACAGTTCTAATGGATTATAAAAATTTGTATTGTAAAATGAGGCTAGACTACATAAAACTTACCTCAGTGTCATACACTTATAAAGAAATATTTATTTCTGAGATAACAGATACTTACAGACTTATTTTAGCTGTTCCAATAATAATTTCTTTTGTAGAATTTAACTTTTTTATTTTTCCTTATTCATTGTACTACTTATTTCTTAGTAGTGTATACTTCCACTTATGTAAATAATAATTTGTTTCAGAACTCATTTCAAAAGTTTTGTTCTAAGTAAATTAACAAGTGAGTGAATCTGGTCCACACTAAATGCATTTCTAAAAGACTATATATGCGGAAAGTAGATGGACACCTACGTACATATGTATATTTTAAGACAAAACTAGATAGAGAAAATGAAGTGAGTCTAAAAAGATGTAAGAAAGTAATGAAATAATGAAGAGGAAAGGACAGAAAAAAAAATCATAAATCTTACCTTATTCTCTCTTCAGACTCGTCCGTGCTGTAAATGGACGCCCCCTGCCACGCTGATACCCTGACAGTCCGTGGTTATTTAATAAACTCATACCAAAACATGCAAAGGTTCACTGAGCTCATTTTTTGTTACTAGAGTTTCAAATGTTCCCTTTAACCATCCCACCCAACAAAAAGAACTGTTTTTCATTTTCATCTTTTTTTAAAGTACATTTTGGAAAAAACATTTTCCCCCCATAGTGAAGTAAGTCTAAGGCAGTCAAATGCCTGACAGCTTCTCAAACTCTGAAGCACTTATCTTTTGAATTAATTTTTTTAAAACACAATTTTCTCATACTTTACCAATGACGTGACAGGGTTTAACAAATAACAACAAAGGGGTAAACCACACACACAACTGTATACCATTTTCAAGCTTACTCAGACCCTGAATTTGAGTATTGAACCTAACCAAAAGTATTCCTCGAAAATCACTTCCCACAGACTACCTTTTAAATTCAAAATTAATTTGGGAAAATTATATTTGTGCTTTTAGACATACTTAATTCCTGAAAAAGCACTGTGCATGTGAGCTACGGCTGGGCATCTGGATAATAAGTGTTCAGCAGCAGTGATTCAATGGCACTGTCACCTTGGGATTTTGCAAGCAGTAAGAAAAAGTAAAGATTGAATAAAAGAAAAAGTGAACACTTAACATTTCACTGAGTTGAAGATCACTCAGTCTTTAGAGTAAAAACCAGTAATATCTTATTATCTCTAACATCAAAATACATTTCATGCAGTGTTTGCATTTTACCGTCCATAAGCATCACCTTAAACACCAGCGAACATTCACAGATGCACTGTCATGAGAGAAGCTTTCAATAGGCAAAATTCGTGAGTGGGATTTACTATGCACAAATACCCATTTCCAAGCCAGTTACCCCTTTGCATATTTTTCTGAGGGGGCATCCATAAATATAATAAAAAACAGAAGCTCATACTTACATCCTATTCCTTGTTACTTTCCAAGCTGAGAGTTTCATCTTGCATTAGTCACCATATGATCTCTATCATAATGGTGGGGGTCAATGAATAGATTAGCTTTATGGGAATTTACAGTTCTTCCATGCATCTAAAATTTGGTAAGTCTGGTAACCACTGACCTACTTTTTTAAAATCTCCCCCTCTCAACTTAAATCTACACAAATATATATCTTATATTTTAATCTCAGCTCTAAAGAAACGATTTTCGTAAGATTAAGTTAAATAACTGCCCCCAGAAATACACTACAGTGTAGGTTATCCTGCTGCCCCACTGAATCTAATTTAAATCTGACCTTGATGTTTATGTTAAAATCTAAAAATAAAATTAGCTTTTATAAAAGTGAGATGATTGCAGAGTAGTCAGTAACTGAAAAAACTAAGTACAATATGTCCAGGACCACTTTAATATGGTATTGTTCTTCTGTTTGTCTCTATCTAAATATTAATTAACCTATAAAAAGCACTTAAAATTATATTCTAATGTAAGGTTGATTTTTTTCTTTTTGTCTGTTTGCTTTGGGTTCTGTAAAAAGTCTAGATTGGTATCAAGTAAAAAAACAAGAATACTACCTTGTGTGTGTCTCTGAATTTGCTGATCTCTCGGGATATCAGATCTCTTTTGTCTTCTTCCATTTCTATAGCATTTATATCCTCCTAAAAAAGATAGGAGGGATAGGAGAGAATGCATTAAAAATTAATCTACATCAATACAAAGATACTAGAATTAAAAGATAATCTGTACCATCTTACAAAAAAGACAGAAGTAAATAAAACAGAATTTATATAGTAAAAAAAAACTAGTGATCTAAGTTAAATAGTGAGAAATCAGATGAACAAGAATCACAAGTCTGGCCATTAGCAATAAACAGTTATTGTCAATGCCTATAATATAAACGAACCTTAGTGATGAGTGGGTAAGGGATCAGTGGGGCCACTGGAAATCTGCGGAAAATCTGCGGAAAAATCCACAAAGATTAAAAAAAGAGCAAGAGTTTTCATTACTCTGCACAACAATTTGCTCTATGTTTATACTGTAAGCAATGTAAGATTTCTGTGATATTTTCTTTTTTTAAAGATTTTATTTATTTGACAGAGAGAGAGAATCAGAGAGAGAGCACGAGAGGGAAGAGGGTCAGAGGGAGAAGCAGACCCCCCAGCTGAGCGGAGAACCTGATGCGGGACTCGATCCCGGGACTCCAGGATCATGACCTGAGCCGAAGGCAGTCACTTAACCAACTGAGCCACCCAGGCACCCTCTGTGATATTTTCTTGATTTCAAATTACTTAATAAAAAAGATTTCACTCACTCTTTTTAACCTCTCCTGTCACCCACCACCTCCTCACCCTCCAACTCCCCCAGGCAACGGAATAAGGAAAGTCTCACACTAGCAGGACTTTTTCCTTCATCCCCTGGAAACAATCATATCAACAAAATTTACCCATAATTCCTGCCATTGAGCAGGATCTCTTTGATCCTCTCCCTCCAAACCCATATCAAACAAATATTCTAACTATTTTCTCCTTTCCCGTTAATGCTGGGGAGGAAGAACGAGCTCTACAAACCTCAATTACCCTATACCTGATGGACTACCAATTCCCATTCCCAATGACTGACATTTCACTAGACAGGTTTTTATGACCATATGAGGAAAAACAAGCCAAGTAATAAAAATGTATTTGGCCACAAAGCAAATTGAAGATGGCCTAATAAGGCACTCAAATTCAAAATAAAATGAACCGTAACTATCCAATGATATTAAAAACCATAGTACGTATTTCACAGTACTTTTTCATAGCATATACAATCCATGCACACAACATACTTCCAATATTTTTAAAGAATACTCCCCGTAATTTCTCTAAATTTATCCAAAGAAATGTGTAAAAAAAACAAAGATTTTTGGGGCATTTGGGTAGCATAGTCGGTTAAGCACCTGACTCTTGGTTTCAGCTCAGGTCATGATCTCATGGTCGTGAGATCGAGCCCTGCGTTGGGCTCCAAGCTCAGTGCAGAGTCTGCTTGAGATTCTCTCTCCCTCTGCCTCTCCTGCTCATGCTCTCTAATCAACAAATAAATCTTAAAATTTTTTTTTCTTTTAACCTGGACACCCTACTATTCAATTAGCTTAGGTTGGCAAAGACTGATAAAATAATAATACACTGGGGAGGAGGAGTGTTTCATCTTCTCCTACTCTTTCACCACCCTCCAATTAGAAGTACAACTGCATTACTGTCCACAGAGGGAATGAGATGTGGTTTAGAAGAAAAGGTGGCAAAACTTAAAGAATGGGTGAAAATATTCAGTGAAGGATAGCTCGTGTCCTGCTTGGAGCAGGGATAGTACAATATCAGGGAGTAAGGCAAAAACAAAGCCAGCCCCTTCCTGGCCAAAAAAACAAAAACAAAAAAACTTCCTTTGTCCCTTAATATCGGCATCTACTTCACGAGTCACGGGTTTTTTCCTTCTGTAATTTGAATCCAGAGATAAATACAAGTATCCATGCCAGTGCATTTCAAACATATAAAACAAACCTTTTGGTGAAAAAAAAAATTAGTGAGTTACTTGATAAAACATGGTCAAATTAGGCTTAGCAGTATATTGTTATAAATCTTAGTCATTTTCCCCTTGAAAGTTGCAATGCAATGAAAGCACAAGAGTGACACCATAAAAAGTAAACCGTAGAAATGACTATTGTCAGAAATCAGTAACACATACGTCCTCCTTCTTCTCCTTCTTCTTCTTCCTGGGGTGAGAGTCAGATTCTTGTGAGGGGGCATTGAGCTCACTGGAGTATTCTCGTATTAAAACTTCAATGGCCCCTTTGATCATCTGATCTCTTCTCTTTGTTTCTTCATCTAAGGCTTCTTCATCATCATTAGTGACAGTTTCTGGCCTCGCATTCTTTACAAAAAAAAAAAAAACAAAAAACAAGGCAAGTTCAGGGAAGTGAAGAGGAAAAAAATCAAAAAAGAAAATCATTCTAAAACAAGTTAGTACACAAAACAAAACAAACATGTTTTCTCTAAAACATCTGTGCAGTCCTATTAAATGCAGACTTGGTTTTGTTCTTAACTTCACAAAACTAAATTTCATTTCATTTACTGATTTTTCTTAGATACTGATACTTTATCATTTTCTTTTCCTTTTTTCCTTTAATAGCTAATACTCTGACCCCTAACCAGTTACAGGGAGATCAAACCACAATACTAACATACTACACGACACATCTGCCAAGCTTTCAGTTTTTCAGACTGTCTTCCTCAAATACTTCCACAAAATAATGTTTACTAAATTTTTTCTTTTTTTTAAGATTTTATTTGACAGAGAGACAGTGAGAGAGGGAAAACAAGCAGGGGGAGTGGGAGAGAGAGAAGCAGGCTCTCCGCCGAGCAGGAAACCTGATGCGGGGCTCGATCCCAGGACCCTGGGATCATGACCTGAACGACTGAGCCACCCAGGCGCCCCTAATGTTTACTAAATTAACCAAAACACAGTTGAGGGGCGCCTGGGTGGCTCAGTCTTTAAGCGTCTGCCTTGGCTTAGGTCATGATCCCAGGGTCCCGGGATCCAGCCCCGCATCAGGCTCCCTGGAGGAGCCTGCTTCTCCCTCTCTCACTCCCCCTGCCTGTGTTCCCTCTCTTGCTGTGTCTCTCTCTGTCAAATAAATAAATAAAATCTTAAAAAAAAAAATTTTTTTTTCTTGGGGCGCCTGGGTGGCTCAGTCAGTTAAGTGTCTGCCTTCGGTTCAGGTCATGACCTCAGGGTCCTGGGACTGAGCCCTGCATTGGGCTCCCTGCTCAGCGGGGAATCTACTTTTCCCTCTCCCCCTCCCCGTCCCCCTCCTCCCCACTTATGCTCTCTCTGTCAAAGAAGTAAATAAAATCTTAAAAAAATTTTTTTCTTTCTTTTTGAAGTCATCGCTACACCCGACGTGGGGCTCAATCTTCCAACCCTGAGATCAAGAGCTGCATGCTCTACTGACTGAGCCAGCCAGGCACCCCTGGCTCAACAAATTCTTAAGAGCCTACTGTGTGTGCAAGACACTATGCTAGATGCCAAAAATAATTCAATATTGGAAAAAAAAAACCTTGCCCCTAAGCATTTAGCAAATACAATAAGCAGTTATGCTACAGATAACTTCAAGTCATAATGTATATTATGAAACTAACTACTCTGAGTTCCTTACTTTCTCAAACATGCCTCTTTTCCCAGTCTTTTTTTTTTTTTTAAAGTAGGCTCCACGCTGGGCATGGAGCCCAAAGTGGGGCCTGAATTCATGTCCCTGAGATCAAGAGTTGGACATTTAACCAACTGACCTACCCAGGCACCCCTTTATTCAATCTTCTTCTGCCAACTTTCTACCTGGTATCTTGGATAAAGACAAGAAGCTTTACCCAAGGACTGTAAATACCTGTTAAAATTATTTACCAACAACACTGTAAACTGTAATCGCGGTGATGTGTTTTTACTTTAAATCAGTAATATATCCCTAGAAGGTCTTTGTGCAGCTTTCACTAAAATCCCTTCAGTAATACTATGCTTCTCCACAGGTTTTAAATCAAAGAATTAACCTGACACTAACTTTCCACTGAAACTATAGGCCCTAAGACATACATGGGCCATTCCAACCCACACCCTCAGGTATTGATACCTAAATTCTGTATTATGAAAATATACTTTATGAGAGAGCATTGAATCTGTCTTTCCCCTACATGCTAAATTCCTTTCCATGAACCCTCAACATCTCTGTGCTTTTCTAAGCATAAAGATAAAAGTGGAGTGGGGTGCCTGGGTGTCTCAGTCAGTTAAGTGTCTGCCTTTGGCTTAGGTCATGATCCCAGGGTCCTCGGATTGAGCCCTGCTCATCGGGGAGTCTTCTCCTTCTGTCCCTCCCCCCCAACTGTGAACAAGCGCGTGTGCTCTAATAAAATCTTTAAAAGCAAACAAAAAAAGATAAAAGTGGGGTTATATAAATCTTAAGGCCTAGTCATTTAAAAATACTCATAAGGGGCGCCTGGGTAGCTCAGTCGGTTAAGCGGCTGCCTTTGGCTCAGGTCATGATCCCAGGGTCCTGGGATCGAGCCCCACATCGGGCTCCTTGCTCTGCGGGAAGCCTGCTTCTCCCTCTCCCACTCCCCCTGCTTGTGTTCCTGCTCTCGCTGTGTCTCTCTGTCAAATAAATAAATAAAATTTAAAAAAATTAAAAAAATTAAAAAAAATAAAAATACTCATAAGTCCCCGAAGTCCCTACCACCAGCATTCTAAATCAAATTTAACCGCTTCTCAGCCTTTTAGCTAAGATCAAGCGTAAATTTAAGTATTAGTATCACTAGTCTTAGCTAAATTAGAAATAAAGCATTTGGAATTCATACCACCTTCTGATGTACATTTTTAGAAGGAAAGCTTATTAGCCCAAATCTCTTCACCAATTGTTAATGTAAGACAACCAAAAATAATCAGATATATTATAAAAGGAAAAGTTTGCGTTTCTTTTTGAGTCAAAGAGAACTACACAACTAACTACTTATGTTCTTTCTTCTGGCTGGCAGTCAGGAAAATGCCTGACTCAAGCACCACATGAGCTCCTTGATGTCTCTGCTCACATCATCCATCTTAAGTCACTGTTTTCTGGACTTCTCCCAACACTCAACAATCAAGAAGAAAGAATAATAATATGCTCTCATATTTTATCATCGTGACAAATCCATCATCTACTCCGCAACAGTTATATTTGCTTAAATTATTTGAAAAAATTTTTTTTATCTAATAGAATTGCTTAACTTTTTTTTTACCAATATTGTTAAGTAAAATGGACATTCCAGCAGACTACACCATGTCTGTCTTGTGGTTTCAAGTATCTCTGGGCACCATACCAAGTACACCCAGAAGTCATGTCTGTTAACATTTTAAATTTCATCTTATCTGAAATAATTGTTCTGTTTTTACTGGAGGTAGCTCCAATTCCATTCTTGAAGATATAAACAGATTTCAATTGAGGTTCCTCTCACTAATAGTGATTACAAACTAAATCAAAGTCACACAACTGTGCATTTCCTTATTTACATATATAGTGAAGTCATTTACTTCATGTTTAGAGTACACTATCTGCAATGTTACAAATCAAACCACCTCACGAGCTGATGATTAAATAATGGGGGGAGGGTGGGAAGACTCCCAGGGAATTATATAAAAACTGAAGATATTAATTCCATTTAATTCCATGCTTTATTTTAAATAATTCAGTTATCACTGCAAGGAAACTCTGAAGTCTTACTTCAGACAGTTGTTTTTTTGATGTGACAGGCAACACTGCTTATCTGAGATACAATTTATGTTACAGAGAAACTGCATTTTATTATTTCTTTACAAAGCTAGGTAAAGACAGTAAGATCATCAGGTGAGCAATGTAAATGCAACTGTTACTCAATAAAGGATCATTCCATTCTTGCTATGGGCAAGATACTGTCTTAGGTTCTGTGCAGGTACAAGAGGAAGAGACAATCTGTGAACTTATTGCCCTTTTTATCTTGTAATCAGATATATGGAACCGAAACATGGTTCAAGGGGTATGAGAGCCAGACAGATACCAACAATTTATGTTACAAAGCACTGACCTAACAGCAATAAAAACCTGGGAAGTAAGTGGGAAGAGAGTAATCAATTCTGCCTGAGAGAAATTGAAGGTAGGATTGAGGAAGGCTATTTGAATCAAATACATTGTAATTACAACTATATGGATAGAATTGCAACAGGGAGCTTGGATGGGCAACAAGGACATGAGATGTCAGCAAAGAATGAAGGAAGTTTGTAGCAATACATGACTGACACATGCAGAAGGACTAATGAGAGAAACCACAAAGGTAGACTAAACAAGCCTTGAATGCCATGCTAATACGGGCTTCATACTCTAAGAAACTGAAAATCATTAAGGATGCATGAACAGAGAGTTGATATAATTACACTTCTGTTTTAGAAATATAGTCAGTCTATAATAGCCAGATGAGAGAAAACAAAATAGAGAATCAGTTAAAATATTATTGAAAGTACAAGAAAAGATACAAGTTAAAAACAGCTAATTACAGAACACTTAGAACTCAATCCTGTATTTATGAAAGAAAAACAAATTCAGATATTCTGACTAAAAACTATATTCATCCATACAGAGAAAAATCTCTGGAAGAATACGCAACAAAACGTCTACAGTGGTTCCTAATGGTGATGGGATTACAGGTGGTACTTAATTTTTTCTTTATAGTTTGCTTTGAGTTTTTTTTACAAAGAATATACAATGTTTTTTGTAAAGGAGGGAGGTGTAATACCAAGAAAGCCACTTCTATTTTTAATGATAATGAAAACCTGAAAGGAACAAAAAGGATTTTTTGTTTTTGTAGAAACAAGAAAATAACAATAAACCTACTTTAAATCCATTCAAGCCTGAGGTTCCAAAAGGAAATAGGAAATATACCTAGGTTTTAGCTACTTTTTGTTTTGTTGAAAAGGAGTAATGACACATACATTACAACACAACATATAAAAATTTCCTTTATTTTAACTTCACTTAATATGGCCACCAACCTGAGGAGAGTAATAAGACTTATTTTCACTTATTTTAGAACCTGTGTACTTTTCTTTTTTTAAGTAGGCTCCATGCCCAGCACTGAGCCCAACATGGTGCTTGAACTCACGACCCTGAGCTCAAGACGTGCGCTGAGATCAAGAGTCAGACGCTCGGGCGCCTGGGTGGCTCAGTTGGTTAAGCGACTGCCTTCGGCTCAGGTCATGATCCTGGAGTCCCGGGATCGAGTCCCACACATCGGGCTCCCTGCTCAGCGGGGAGTCTGCTTCTCCCTCTTACCCTCTTCCCTCTCGTGCTCTCTGTCTCTCATTCTCTCTCTCAAATAAATAAATAAAATCTTTAAAAAAAAAAAAAAAAGAGTCAGACGCTCAAGTGACTGAGCCACCCAGGCGCCCCAGAACTTGTGTACTTCTAAAAGAGAGGGCAACTAATTAAAATTAATGTGTAGGTTGAAATATATTTTGTTGTACTTACTTACAAAGCTGCCTGAATGAATTAGCTCTGTTTGGAATAGTCTGTACCAGTGTTTTCTCTGGCAAGTTAACCTTGTCCAGACTCCCTCACTACCTTCATCCCAACCTGGAATAAGCAAACCAACAGTCATCCACCCACTATGGGTAGATAAAAGATTTAAAATAACTATAAAGTATAAAAATACCCTCCTGCCTTTTAGCCACAAGGACATGTTATGTTGAGGATGATCTTGTGAAGCCCCATAGCAGATTCACTTATAAGAAGTATTTACACTGAAAGAGCACAGTTGGCCTAGAAAAGATAACGCTATAGAAACATAGCCCATTAGGGGCGCCCGGGGGGCTCAGTTGGTTAAGCTTCTGCCTTCGGCTCAGGTCATGATCCCAGGGTCCTGGGATCGAGCCCTGCATTGGGCTCCCTGCTCCGCAGGAAGACTGCTTCTCCCTCTCCCTCTCCCCCTGCTTGTGTTCCCTCTCTCGCTGTGTCTCTCTCTGTCAAATAAATAAATAAAATCTTAAAAAAAAAAAAAGAAAAAAGAAACATACCCCATTAGAAGCTTTCTTCTTTGCTTTCCATTCATCTAGTTGTGCCTTTGTCTTTGCATCAACTTTAACAAGGAGCTTCTTTTCTCCAATCTGCAGGTCATGCAATAACCTGAGTGCACGGAGGGTAGACTCAGGTTCCTTATACTCACAGAAGCCAAAGGCTAGAAATGGATGTAAAGAATTAGTGAAATATCAATACAGTTATGAAAACAAAATATTTATGGAAAATTAAAATCATCAGAGACCAAATGTTCTAATACCAGGATTACTCATGTTGTCACTTCTCCCTTTCCTTCAATTACCCTTGATTTTACTTTTAGCACCCTCAAACCACCAAAAGAAAAAAGAAAACAAAAACAAGGGAAAGAAAAGAAAAACTCTAATCAGGCAAATAGCTGCTTATTAGAAGTGCTGATAAAATATTGAGCAGAACCACAAATTTCATAATTGAAGTCTTTTAATTATTTCCTGAATTCATTCTATCCAAACTTCCTCAGAGCTACCTACAAATAAGTGACAACAGGCTCTTTAAACCGATCACAAGGACTTCCCTTTTTTTTAAATATATTTCTCCTGTTTTAGTTTTTTTCAAAGATTTATTTATTTTAGAGAGTGTATGAGAGAGAGCGGGCGTGCGCACAAGCACAGGAGGAGGCGCAGAGGAAAAGAAGAGAGAATCTCAGGCCGACGCCAAACCCTGCCCCCGCCCCTGCTCGGTGAGGAGTCCGACACAGAAATCAAGAGGTGGACGCCTTACCAACCGAGCCACCCAGGCGCCCCACAAGCACTTTTCAATTCTGAGAAGTTAAACTACAAAAGTACTGACCTTTTTATCCTAATAATGTTTGATTTTTCTGAATCTGTTTAATTTTAACAACTAGTCTCACCATTATTACCATGCCTTTAAATCAGAGATATTAAAACATACACTTTAAAGGAGTAACCTAAAAATTGAAAATAAAAGAAACAAATCCAAATATGTATACAAATATGTATAGTTAAGGGCACAACCAAACAGAGAGGAACTATTCAGAGTGATTTTAAAACAGCAAATTTGACCACAGGTTTCTAGTGTGATATATCTTAAGGACAAAAGACCTGTCAATAAAAAAGAAAATTTCTATTATCACATTGCTGATGGTAGTGCTGGTATTAGTAGTCTTAAACTGTTGTACATGAAATGTAAGATGAAGCAAGCCAGTAATTACTTAATAGACTATCATCCCGATGTCCTTGAAACTAAGGATTCTCAGGATGGGAGGAAAAAAAAAGATGTATTACAGAAAAGGCTAAATAAAACATCCTGAATGTAAATTAATACGCACTGGAAAAATGTAAAGGCAAAGACTAAATAAGTGTTTTATAAAAAATATTTATTTAAGTAATCTCTACACCCAAGGTGGGGCTCGAACTCACAGCCCCAAGGTCAAGAGTTTCACGGCCCAAGATCAAGACTTGCACGCTCCTCTGACTGAGCCAGTCTGGCCCCCCAAGACTAAACAAGTCTTATAATGAGTATATCTAATTTCCAGACTGTGATTTTTAAAGCAATTTCCCACTAAAAAAAAAACCAAAAAAAAAACAGAGTTCCTTAAAGAAATGGCTGATCCTAAGTATGGGACAGAAAAACTTCTGGATGAGTTTATAAGATTCCAAATCCTAGATAACATTCCAGACAATAAGGCAGCTATCAAAGGCAGTTAGGCTTGTGTCAAAACCACTGGAAACCCAATTTGCAGAGAAAATATAAGACAATTTAAGCTTCGCTAGCAATAGTGACAATTAATTCTTATTAAATATAACAAATTCAACATATTTCAATCCTTAAGTTCAAAATGGTTCTTAAAAAAAGTCACTCCTGGAGCACCTGGGTGGCACAGTCAATTGAGCATCCGACTCTTTTGATCTCAGCTCAGTCTTGATCTCAGGGTCATGAGTTCAAGCCCTGCACTGGGCTCCACGCTGGGCATGGAGCCTACTTTAAAAAAAAAAAAAAAAGTCACTGCTAAATGATGCTGAGGACATCCAACTCACTCTTTTGAAAAATGAAAGAACCACAGCATTTACCCTGTTTTCCTTATACAATTCTAATAGAGGATTTGTTCTTCAATGAAGGAATGACAGAATTCTTCAAAATAGACTACCACATTTTGCAACCCTCCAATGAATGAACCAATCCAGGAATAGACAATCAACAGCTGCTACCACAAAAATTTTAAAAATTAAAAAAACAAAACAGTGTCTCATGATGAATAACAATACCTTTAAAAATTTCTTTTTTTTTTTTTTAAGATTTTATTTATTTATTTGACAGAGAGACAGACAGTGAAAGAGGGAACACAAGCAGGGGGAGTGGGAGAGGAAGGAGCAGGCTTCCCGACGAGCAGGGAGCCCAACGCAGGGCTCGATCCCGGGACCTCGGAATCATGACCCAAGCCCAAGGTAGATGCTTAACAACTGAGCCACCCAGGTGCCCTACCTTTAAAAAATTCTTACAAATAAAAAACAAAAATAACACATGCGAACTCAAATCTGATTGTGTCTCAAGATACAACCAGTTTACATAAAATACAGAGACAGAGAAGCACTGGCACATTATTCTACTGGAGCTGCAATCAGCAAATCTACACTCAAGAAATGCTACTGAGCAATTGAACCAGGTTCTTCGACAAATAATTCCAAGGGAAAAGAGATAGAAGAACTTAAATTATTAAAAGAGACTTAAAAACATGCCAACCAATTGCAATGTGTGGACTATATATATGGATCCTGTATCAACTACTAACAGAGTTGACATTTCTAACAATTGGACATCAGAAAATTGACTTACGATACTATGAAAAATAGTTAATTTTTGAAGGTCTTATAGCATTTCCAGTATGTTTTTTAAAAAGCTCTTATCTCTTAGAGATACATGCTAAAATATTTACAGACAAAATGATGGATGCTTGGGATTGCTTAAAAAAAATGTGAGGAAATGGACAGAGTACAGGTTAAGCACAATTGGTCATGAGATGATAAATGTTAAAGCTAGGTGATGAGTATGCAGAAGTTCATATTATTTTAATTTTACATATGCATGAATTTTCCCATAATACTGTTTAAAGAATGCACATCAAACAGGTGCTTTGGGCGCCTGGGTGGCTCAGATGGTTAAGCATCTGCCTTCGGCTCAGGTCATTATCCCAGGGTCCTGGGATCGAGGCCCGCATCGGGCTCCCTGCTCAGTGGGGAGCCTGCTTCTCCCTCCGCCTCTCTCTGTCTCTTATGAATAAATAAATAAAATCTTAAAAAAAAAAACAACAAAAAACAGGTGCTTTTACCACCAAGAATGAAAAGAACAGTTTGCTTCTAAGACTAACAGGTCATCTCACCATCTGTTCTGCTTTCTTCCTAAGTCCTAATTGTTGAATGTTGATCATATACTCCTGCTCTGAGAAAAAAAGGACTTTTCAAAATAACATTGTAAAAAAACAGACTGAGTAATTTTTCCTCTCCTACCTTTTTCCTGTTAATACTTTTCCACTTTCTAAACTCAACTCAGCTAAATCTTCCCAAATGCCTTTAATCCTATTCCAATCAGAAGGAAGACAAAGAGTGCTGACAGAATACTCCCATGGTTAAGGGCAATGAGAGCAAAACATCCAACAAGTGACTTAAGCACACAGGTTAAAACGATCTCAGTAAGAAAAAATTTCCTACCTTGAAGTTTTCCAGATGCACCTTGTACTCTCTTCCAGCTTAAAACCAAACCACATTTCTTAAAAAGAAAAACAAAACAAAAAATGATCATTACCATTTAAGAAAATCACCTCATCAGTACTAAGAATAAGAGCACAATTGATATTTCCACCAGGAGAAAGATAAAAGCAAAAAGAAAAAAAAAATCATACCAGCCATTAAAGTTCTTAAAATTCTCTCAATTCCCACATACCTATCATAGGAGAGAAATCTATAATACAAATTCTTACTTGCAGAAAATTGACTACCTTTTAGATTTTATTTGGGGGGTGGGGAGATAGTGCAGAAGAGTGGGGAGAAGGGCAAAGGGGGAGGGAGAGGGAGAGAATCCCAAGCAGACTCCATGCTGAGCATAGAGTCCAACTCAGGGCTCGAACTCACAACCCTGAGATTACAACCTGAGCTGAAACCAAGAGTCAGACACTCAACCAACTGAGCCACCGAGGCACCCCTTGACTATCTTTTAATAAATTAGAAATTTTACAGCATTGGGGCACCTGGGTGGCTCAGTCTGTTAAGTGTCTGCCTTTGGGGCGCCTGGGTGGCTCAGTTGGTTGGGCAACTGCCTTCGGCTCAGGTCACGATCCTGGAGTCCCAGGATCGAGTCCCACGTCGGGCTCCCGGCTCAGCGGGGAGTCTGCTTCTCTCTCTGACCCTCTTCCCTCTTGTGTTCTCTGTCTTTCATTCTCTCTCTCTCAAATAAATAAATAAAATCTTAAAAAAAAAAAAAGTGTCTGCCTTTGGCTCAGGTCGTGATCCCAGGGTCCTGGGATCGAGCCCCACATCGGGCTCCCTACTTGGTGGAGAGCCTGCTTCTCCCTCTCCCACTGCTGCTCTGCCCACTTGTGCGCTCTCTCTGTGTCAAATAAATGAACAAAATCTTAAAAAAAAAAAACAAAACTTTTACAGCATTATTTATTCTACCCGGAATGTATACATAAAAAAACAATTACCAATATTACAATTCTTAAAATAAACTATAGTAAATTCAAGTAAAAACTCTGCATCCATAGAGATCATGTTTTAAAACACACATCTATATTATAAAGAACGTTTTTTAAAAGATTTTTTAAAAGTAATCTCTATACCCAATGTGGGGCTCGAACTCACTAATCTGAGATCAAGAGTCGCATGCTCTACTAACTGAGCCAGCCAGGCGCCCCTATATTGTAAAGGACTTTTAATAACATGGAAAAATGCTTGATATGGAATGCAAAAATTACATGGGACATGAAATTGCAGATAACACAGTAAGACTATGTAAAGAAAAAAATTTCCGTAAATCAGAAATATTAACAGGGCAGGTTGTCTGAAGAGTAAAACATTACATTTTGTTCACGTTCAAATTTTTTTTATATTATTATTTTTTTTTTTTTATAAAAACTTACTTATTTGAGAGAGCGTGTGCAAGCAGGCAGAGGGGCAGAGAGAGAGAATCTCAAATGGACTGCTGAGCAGGGAGCCCAACACAGGGGTCAGTTCTAGGACCCTGAGATCATGACCTGAGCTGAAACCAAGAGTTGGACACTCAAACAACTGCACCACCAAGGCGCTCCAAACATTATTTCTAATTAAGTAAAAAGTAGAAGGTTAAAAAAAAAGTTATTTGTAGGAAATGGTAACTGAACACTGCCTGTCAAAGCTGAGAGAATGTATGAAATTTTCACATCTCCCTTCAGAGAAACCAATAAAAATGATCAAGGAATATAAAAGATAAAAATCCATGAGGTCAAACATTGTATGAGCAAACAGCAAAATTCAACAAAATTTTGAAAAGAAAAAAGGCAAATGGAAGGATGGGAACTCATTCAGTAGATCAAAGAAAGCTGTAACGTCAAGGATCTACAGATGAAGATACTGATAAGAATTAGGCTGATTCTACAAAGCCAAGTCATCTGGACTGGAGGTAAAAAGTACCCACAGTGGAGAATGGGGTTGAAGGATGAGGCTGAATAAAAACAGGTGCTTGCGGGGCTCAGTCTAAGGTTAAGTGCCTGCCCTTGGCTCAGGTCATGATCTCAGGGTCCTAGAATCAAGCCCCACGTCCTTCCTGCTCAGTGGGGAGTCTGCTTCTCCCTCTGCCCCCACCCTTCATGCTACCTTTCTCAAATAAATAAAATCTTAAAAACAAAAACAAAAACAATCCAGGTACTTGCCTGACAATATGAATATGGAATAATCAAAGCCTGAGTTCTTTTCAAGCCAACTACTTTACTCCCCACCCCTAGAGAAGATAGCCTGCAGTCTTTACAGGCAACTATACTTAATAATCTCCACCCTCTAAAGAAGATGTGGTATATATAGATACAATGGAGTATTATGCAGCCATCAAAAAATGAAATCTTGCCATTTGCAACAACGTGGATGGAACTAGAGTGTATTATGCTAAGCGAAATAAGTCAGAGAAAAGTATCATATGATCTCACTGATACGAGGAATTTGAGAAACAAGACAGACGATCATTGGGGAAGGGAGGGAAAAATGGAACAAGACGAAACCAGAGAAGGAGACAAACCATAAGAGACTCTTAATCTCAGGAAACAAACTGAGAGGGGGGTGGGAGGGATGGGGTGGATGGGTGATGGACATTGGGTAGGGTATGTGCTATGGTGAGCGCTGTGAATTGTGTATGACAGACAAATCACAGACCTGTACCCCTGAAACAATTAATACATTATATGTTAATAAAAAATAATAAATAAAAATAATCATATACTCACTAAGCATGAAACTGGAAGTTTTCTAGAGAAACCAACGAGCCCCAAAGAACTCCATATACTAACATTCAAAACCTCTACCTGCTGGCTAGGTTACCCTACAATGATGCTCAACATTTTACAAACCCAGCTTATTTATGCATACAAAAACTTTTTTTTTTAATTTTAATAAATCTCTACACCCAAAATGGGGCTCGAACCCACAACCCCAAGAGATGCACACTCCACTGACCAAGCCAGCCAGGCACCCCCAAAAAACTTTAATCCCTAACTCTTAAATATGAAGACAATCAAGGATCATTAGACATTTAAGGAATGCCTTAAATGAAAAATTAAAGGAAGAGATAAATTCAGGAATGAAGCTTAAAACAAAACACTGCTGCACATATAAGTCAAGAACAGGTTTTTGGTTTTTTTTTAAATATTTTATTTATTTATTTGACAGAGAGAGAGAGACATCAAGAGAGGGAACACAAGCAGGGGCAAAGAGAGAGGGAGAAGCAGGCTTCCTGCTGAGCAGGGAGCCCGATGCGGGGCTTGATCCCAGAACCCTGGGATCATGACCTGAGCCGAAGGCAGACCCTTAACGACTGAGCCACCCAGGCGCCCCAAGAACAGGTTTAAAAGAGGTTTTGGGGCGCCTGGCTGACTCAGTCGGTTAAGTGTCTGGCTCTTAATTTCAGCTCAGGTCTTTATCACAGGGTCATGTGTTTGGGTCCTGTGTTGGGCTCCAAGCTGGGCATGGAGCCTACCAAGAAAAAAAAAAAAAAGGGAGAGAAAGAGAGACGTTTCAAATAGGATACAGGATATATATATATCTCCTCACACACCTGCACACAAATATTCATAGCACCATTATTCATAATACCCAAAAAGTACAAACAACTCAACTGTCCTTCAACTGATGAATGGATAAAAATGTGGTATATCCATTAGATGGAATATTTGGTCATAAAAAGGAATGAAATACTGATATAAGCTACAATATAGATGAAGCCTAAAAATATATTAAACGAGAAAAGACAAAACATGAAAAGCCATACATATTCTATGATTCTGTTTATATAACATGCCCAGAATAGGCAAATCTACACAGAAAGTAGGATAGTGGCTGCCATATGCTGGGGAGAGAAGAGAACGGAAAGTGACTTATTGAGCACAGGGTTTCTACTTGGGGTGATGAAAATGTTCTGGAGGGGCGCCTGGGTGGCTCTGTTGTTAAGCATCTGCCTTCAGCTCAGGTCATGATCCCGGGATCCTGGGATCGAACCCCGCATCGGGCTCCTTGCTTGGCGGGAAGCCTGCTTCTCCCTCTCCCACTCCCCCTGCTTGTGTTCCCTCTCTCGCTGTGTCTCTCTCTGTCAAATAAATAAATAATCTTAAAAAAAAAAAAAGAAAAGAAAGTGTTCGGAATTAAGACGGGGTGATGTTTGTACAACTTTCTGAATATACTAAAAAAACCACTGAATTATACGTTATAAAAAGGTGAACTTTAAGGTCTATGAATTCTATCACAATAAAGATGGTTTTTAAAAAATGACCTCCCGATGTTCCACTTTAGGAAAAAATTGGCATTATCCTGTGAACTGAAGATAAACATGCCCTACGACTCAGAAATTCCACTTCTAAAAGCACACATGAAATTTTTTCATGTGACTGAGGAAGACTTATTACCTGTAATACAGCAAAACGTATTATCAAGAAATAGAAACAATCCATATGGTCATATCATTAGAAAACTGACAATTCCTGGTACACTTCTACAATGCAATGGTATATAGCGCTGATAAGTAAATAAACTAGAGCTATATATATATTAGGTGAAGAAAACAAATTACGGAGTACAGAATTAAAACTTGTGAATTATAGATTTTTGTGAATACATAAATATGTAATAAAGTAAAAAATAAGGGGCGCCTGGGTGGCTCAGTTGGTTAAGCGACTGCCTTCGGCTCAGGTCATGATCCTGGAGTCCAGGGATCGAGTCCCACATCGGGCTCCCTGCTCAGCGGGGAGTCTGCTTCTCCCTCTGACCCTCCCCCCTCTCGTGCTCTCTATCTCATTCTCTCTCTCAAATAAATAAATAAAATCTTAAAAAAAAAATTATAAAGTAAAAAATAGGAGCACCAGGGTATAAGTGTCTGCCTTCAGCTCAGGTCATGATCCCAGGGTCCTGAGATCGAGTCCTGCATCGGGCTCCCTGCTCAGTGGAGAGCCTGCCACTCCCTCTCCCTCTGCTACTCCCCCTGCGTGTGCTCCCCTGCTTGTGCTCTCTTGCTCTCTCTCGCTCTATCTCAAGTAAATATAAATAAATCTTTAAAAAAATAAAAATAAATAAAGTAAAATAATGCACACAGGAATAATAAACACCAAATTTAGGATAATGGATTTCCCTGGTGATTACCTCTGTGGAAGAAAGAAGTGGGAATTAGGACCAACTATAATGTTTTATTTCTTTGGGAAAAACATCTGAAGCTAGTATTGCAAAATACTGAATGTGACAAAGCTAGGTTTTGTGTTTTAACACAAGGATCATACAACTTATAAAACAGAAATGGCAATAAAATCAAGAAGGAAAAGATTTTAAAATAACTTCTCTAAAAAATAGTGGAGATTATGGAGGGAGGGAGTACAGGCACTGTTGTTTTTCATCATAAAATCATTAGGTATTATTTCACTTAATGCTCATTTATCACCAGGATAACAATTGTTAAACTAAGACAAAAAGGAAAACGAATGACTTCACAAATTCGAAAGAACTTATTGTTTACCCTCAGAATAAAAACCTTAAAAGCAATTAATCACCACTAAATGCTAAAATCATTGTTTTAAAGGCTGTCGGGGGAGGCGGTGGTACGGAGGGTGGGGGGTGGGAGGGGAATGACACAACTCAAATGGTCTCAAAACATTAACCCAGAAATTACTTATTAATGACAAAGGGAAACAAGGTATCCTTAAAGAGATGTGACCACCTTAACCAAGTTACTAAACTGAACATCACCAAAAACAGGACCAAGAGATACCACATGCCTCTTGTTATGCTGCACTGAGAACATCATCCATGAACCATTCTTGCAAAAAATGCTTACTCTGAATCTATGAGCAAAGAGTCAAATTCAAATTGAGACATTCTGCAAAAGACCTGAACTCTTCAAAAAATGTTAATGTCATGAAAGACAAAAACAAGCAAACAAAAAAAAAGACAGGAAGGTATTCTGTATTACAGAAGTTGTCTAAAGAGGTATGACAATTCAACACAATGTATAATCCTTGACTGAATCACAGATAAAACAAAAAGCAGCTGTTATGAAGATTACTAACGAAATTACATATGAACTATTAAGTATATTTAGACAATACTGTATCAGAAAAAAAACAACAATACTGTAACAGCCTTAAATTCCTTAAGTGTGATGGTTTTATGATCATATAGGAAAATGCCCTTGGTCTTAGGAGAAACAAGTAGTATTTAAAGATGAAATGTCATGTCACAACTTACTCTCACAACTTACTCTCCAATTATTGAGAAAAAAAGTGTGCTGTGTGTGTATGTAGAAAGTAAATGTGGCAAAACGTGTTACGAGGATGTTCATTTTACTATTCATCCAACTGTTCTGCAGAATAGAAATTTTTCAAAATAAAAAGGAGAAAATAATTAGAATCCTTTTTCTGCTTTCTCATAAATCTGAAATCCATAACAATAAAATTTAAAAATGAGAACAGTTTAACTTACAGCAAGGAGCTGTCTTATAAGCATGTCTGAGGCTTTCTCAGAAATGTTGCCAACAAAAACTGTAGTAGTGGGACCACAATTTTCATCATTTTCTTTAGCCTTTAAGCCTGGGTGATCCTTTCTTGCTCCCAAATGCTTTCCAACCATGGACACAGTTGGTACTAAAACCTAGAGAGAAGAAAAGCAATAAAATTGGAACTGGAAGTTAAATTTCCTATCATGTTTAAAGTAACATTAGTCTAAAAACAATTTTAAAGTACTAACTATATGGCACATTATTAAAGGTTCTACATACTTAATCTAAAGCTTCTATCATTCTTCATTAATGCAAATTCATTCATGACAAGTTCAACTATTAAGTACCTTTTTTCTTTTAAACAAGATTTGAGAGAGGACACACATACAAGAGAGGGGACGGGCAGATGGAAAGGGAGAGAGAATCTCAAGCAGACTCCCTCTGGAGCCCCGATGTGGGGCTAATGACCCCCCTGAGATCTAAGGACCCTGAGATCATGACCTGAGCTGAAATCAAGTCAGACATTTAACCAACTGAGCTACCCAGGCGCCCCAGATTACCTTTCTTTTGAAAACAACTTGGAAAAAGCAAATAAAAGTAACTTGGATGAAAATTTTTTTATATTTAAGACATAATTCTTAAATGTCTAAGACATCATAAATCATTTAAAATTATCAAATAGATCCAGGAGCTTCTTCACAACTCTACTCTGTACGAATATAAAAGCAAATTTCGGGACGCCTGGCTGGCTCAGTTAGGTATCTGACTCTTGATTTCAGCTCAGGTCGTGACCTCAGGGTCCTGGGACAGAGCCCTGCATCAGGCTCCATGCTCAGGGGAAGTCTGCTTCTCCCCGCCCCCATCTCCTTCTGTCCCTCCCCCACTTGTGCTAGCTCTAAAATAACCCCCCAAATTTTTTTAAATAAGAGCAAATTACAATTATCCCCATTAATCCTCTGACAGAGTATTACTAATACTCTCAGAGCACTCTCCAACACTTAAATTTTACCTTTATCAGTTAGTTATATTTTTTATTTTCCCTTTATAACATTCAAATTTCCAGAGGAAGGAACAATCCTACTGATTTTTGTATCTGGAATTGAATATCGTGAAACATCCACAGCAGGCACCAAATAAATAATGGTGAACTGAGGAAGCTGCTCCAAACCCCAACTCCCACCTTTTCCTAGGCTGAAATGCAAGAGAGTAAGAGTATCTGTCATGTGGAGGTTTTCAAAATAGCCAAACAATGGGTATCCAATGCAAGAAAAATTATACTCCCCCCTTGATCTGCAGAACCGTATCATCTTAGTGGTCTGCCTCACAGCAGATTCCTGTTTGCCCACAGAGTTACCATCTCCTTTTTAATACGAATAATACTCCCCTCCCCTTTTCAAAATCCACATGTAGAAAAATACTTGAAAGTAATGAAATCTACCCTTCCTCACAGTGGAATTCCAGATGAAGTCTGATACTCTACCACTTAAAGAAAAATTCTGCTTAAAGAACAGTTAAGACGGTTATTATTTATTTTTTTTAAGACGGTTATTATTTATTCATGTGTTACAGCACATTAGCATTCTGAACTAATATGCTTAGAATGTACAAAAGCTTTGATGAATGTGAAGAATTAAGGCGTAAAGAAGACAATAATAGAACACTTTAGCAGAGTAAAGGCTTCAAGAAAACTTTACAAAGCTTTTTAAAGGTATCATACCAGAGGACAGAGAAAAAATAGTTTGGAAGGGGCTAAAAATTAGATGAGAGGAAAGGATGGAAATATATTCAACACAAATTTCACTTCAAAATTTAAAATTTCTATTAGAATCATTTCTACAGTCTTTTTTTTTCCTTTTATGAGAGAGATTAATCGTGTCTGATCTTTCTCCTATCTCCTAGGACCAAGACAAGAGTAGGGAATGATAAAAGAGCCAATGTCCTAAATCTAAAGTAACAAGTATATGAACAGTCTAGAGAATATAGGTAAATAGGGAGCCTATTTTAAAGGCAACTGCATAATATGCACAGCTGAGTGAAAATGATACTCAAATAAGTAGTATGATATACATGGATGCTCTCACTCCCTATTATTCTTTTAAATACTTAAAATAACAAGTTTACCAAGGTTTTTTTAGCTTTAGAAGCAGCAACACTACTCTATGTCCTAATTCCTCCTTAAAGTCATACTTACAGTTGGAGCAGGAGCCATAATGCTCATTGGTACAGGAATCATTGGGGTCCCTAAGAAAAAAGCATATTAAAATCTTATGAATACCAGTATATATGACTATATTCTGTATCAATTCCATGGCACGCAAATAGGTATCCTCACTCACAGTTAACTTAAGTTGAAATATATGACTGATGGAATTGAGATATTGATGAATGCCTTATTTTCAAAAAGCAATGTGGTACAGGCTGGTCTATATAAACTTACACAACGACAAAAAACTATTCTAAATGGGAAGACTAGGGCGCCTGGGTGGCTCAGTCGTTAAGCGTCTGCCTTCGGCTCAGGTCATGGTCCCAGGGTCCTGGGATCGAGCCCCGCATCAGGCTCCCTGCTCCACGGGAAGCCTGCTTCTCCCTCTCCCACTCCCCCTGTTTGCGTGTGTTCCCTCTCTCGCTGTGTCTCTGTCAAATAAATAAAATCTTAAAAAAATAAAATAAAATAAGCGCCTGGGTGGCTCAGTTGGTTAAGCGACTGCCTTCGGCTCAGGTCATGATCCTGGAGTCCCGGGATCGAGTCCAGCATGGGGCTCCCTGCTCAGAACCTCCCCCCTCTCATGTGTTCTCTCTCTCTCAAATCAGTAAAATCTTAAAAAACTAAAATAAAATAAAATAAAAGCAAAGACTACCACTACAACATGGTTTTGTCTCAGGAGTTTAAAAATCTGGACAGTTACTGATTCATGTTCATCTGATTCAATACATCCTGAAAGCCATTAACTTACGCAAATACAGATTCACTTACGGCTAAACATGGTATTAAGGAATCCTTTAAAAGTTAAAAAAAAAAAAAAGGTATCAAATGAGAAATTAATCTAGAAACCTAGAAAGAATCTTGTTATTGCTGGTTAATAAAAAGAAAAACCATGCAAAAAATATGACCAGTAATCTCAGTTAGTGTCAAAGAAAATCTCTAATAAGACAATCATCTACTGGCTGCACTGGGCTATTACTGACATCTTAGTGATAGCTACATTTTTTTTTTCAACTACACTGTTTATCAACCAGTGACTACTGTATTGAGTGTTCTTGTGTGTATAACTAATGAAAAAATCTTACCATCTGAGCACTAAGAAAAAGAATGCAATGAGGACAAAAATCAGTGAAAGATTTGTCTACTTT